TGTACCGATCCTACGGTATATGTAAGTGGGTTTTTTTTAAGGTTTTTAGGATGGAAGTATCTCCAGCAGAAAAGATATCCAAAGATGCAGTTTTAAATTGTAAAGAAATCAGTGTTTTTGAAACTAAAGGAGTCGACAGAAGTCAATGATTCTTTTGAATTATTCAGCTTGACATGTTTACTGCTCCAAAATACTTAAATGTTACTCAAATTAAAATATATTGTGTTCTACAGGGAAAACAGTTTTAATTTTTTTTTACTCAGACATTTAAAAAGGATATATTTTAGAGCACCATGAATACCATGAAACCGTTGTGTTTTTATCCAAGGTAATCATATCGTCAGAATCTTATACTGGCCCATGCCTAACTTCTAATGCGTTAATAAAAAGAAAAGCTCCTAATTGTGTCAATGTTTAGGCAAAAAAACTATTCTTTCGAGTTTATATCTTAGAAATACACACTAAATTAAGGTAGATGACACATTTACATGCAGTTTTACTGATTAAGCGATTACATATGATGTGAGATGTTATTGAGGTAAAGTTAGTTTTATATTCGCACACTTGTACTTTCATCTTTTCAATATTGATTGGGTATAAACTGCAGTTGAAATCACCGTTCAGGGCTCGAAATTGCGACTGTTTTGGTCGCATATGCGGGCAAAATTTTATCCATGCGACCTCCAAATATATTTAGGAGCATTTGTGTGACTGCATAATATTGGTGCCGTGCGACCGGTTTTCACTGCAAAATGTTCACCACACATGCAGATTTAGGAGTCATTCGCGCAGAATGCATCTTAGCACCTGAGACGCCAAATGCAGCGCTCATGAATAGTTTAAAACAGTTGTTAAGTCAACTTGCTGCCATAAAGCGCACAATGCTTGCCCCACCCTCAAGCTCTTCTGATTGGCCCACTGCTCTAGAACTGAATGCGAACAAATTGGTTAATATCAGCTGTCAATCACTTGGTCGATGGCTTTCTTTAGATGACAGGGAGAGCTACAATCGCGAACATGTAGAGCACTGAAGATGAAAAAAAGAAAACACTGACAGATTTAGTTTTAGAAAACACCTAAAGTTACAAATAAAGACACGTCTGATTAGTGGTCATGTGGTTAATGTCAATCCAGCGTTTACTCTTTTCCAAGAGTGGATAAAAGACTTCCAGTGTTAAAAGTTCGCTATGAAAATGACTAAATCGTTAGGATGCTGTCAGCTGTGCAGGTGGCGCTATATGTAAAATGTAACACCACGAACACCATCGCAAAGTGGCTTGCATTTATCGACATACAACTTATATTGCAGCTAATATAATTGCAGTAAATCGCTTAATATAACATTAAAACTTGTAGTAACAGTGCTTATAATTGGTGGGTGCGACTAAATTTTTGCTTTTTAAAGTCGGGAGCACCAGTGCTACCATGCAAAATGTTTAATTTCGAGCCCTGCCAGTAGACATGAGCATCACCTTTGTGCTGATTCTGAAACGATGTTGTAGGAATGAATTTTCAGTGCTTCCCATGCATAGGCTTTACTTGGGCAGGCTGCCCAGGTATATCAAGCGTCCGCTCAAGTATATTTAGTGACACTTTTTTTTTTTTTAACTATTATTATTATTATCATCATCATCATCTTCCTTTTACACTTTTTTTGTATCCGCCCAATATCAACAAACATCCGCAAGCGATTAAGTAGTGGAAAATCTCTCCTTGACCCATTTTGTACTGTTCGTTCTGTGTGCGCGAGAACTGTCAACACTCCCACAAACTTTAAGCCATTGAAAAGAAAGTTTAAAACAGATCCTTAATAAATCAAAATATTGTGAAAATCTAATTATGTTTTGTTTGTCGCATATGGTTAACTATTTTTGTGCTCTGGGTAAAAGGTGTTTCAATCCGGCTACCACCGCAAGTATATTTGAAATCTGTGGGAAGCACTTAAAGTGGAATAAAATATACAGAACAAACCACCATCTGTCTGTCTAGCTAAAACAGCATCAAAAACTCTCTGAAACTGCTTTTTATATAAAAATAAAGCAGAAATCAGTTTTTTTGTTTAGTTTTTTTGAACAATTGTTTTATTTTCATTGATGCATTCCTAATGTGCTTTGCTCTTTTTCTTCCCCTCTATACAGGTGGATGAGGACTATATTCAGGACAAGTTTAATCTTACAGGACTCAACGAGCAAGTTCCCCATTACAGACAAGCTCTGGACATGATCCTCGATCTGGAACCTGGTCAGTCATTTAGTTTTTCTACACAATCCCACTTTTGTGCCATCATTATGGTCAGCATTTCTTTTAAATAATTCAACCTTAAGCTTTAATTAAACGCATTAACGGCCCAACCTGTCACTTACATGAGACTAGCCAATAGCTAAACCAGCATTCAGTCAATTGCCAATGGATGACGTCAAGTCCTGCCAAATATTTCTTGTTCTTGTTGGAAAGCAGTGTCATGTGAATAGTGAGATGATTCTTGTGTTCATCAGATGAGGAGCTGGAGGATAACCCTAACCAGAGTGACCTGATTGAGCAGGCTGCTGAGATGCTCTATGGGCTGATTCATGCTCGCTATATCCTCACTAACCGTGGCATTGCCCAGATGGTATGATCTCCTTTTCAATTTTTTGAATCATTTCATTTAAGAAAGATGTTATTGTATTGTGACATGATGTGCTGTTTTCTCTTGGAGCTGGAGAAATATCAGCAGGGAGACTTTGGCTACTGTCCTCGTGTTTACTGTGAGAATCAGCCAATGCTGCCTATTGGTGAGTGCCTCAGCCTGTTTTGTGCATGTTATTTTACCAACCCAGTTTTCATGTAGTAGAAAAATGTATAAGGTAAAAGTATTTGCAGTAGTTGCATATTGACATACAATTATTTAGTTGATTAAATATAACCATTTAAACGACACATTAATATTAATAAAAATAATAAAGAATATGTATCATTTGATTGAGCACTGTAGGCTCTGTCTTTAAAAGTTTTATGTAGGTCTATCCTTATATACAGTTAAAAACAAGTCATATTTTAAAATATTGGCACAAAAATCTGTACTTGTTTTTAATTTGTCATTTATTTATTTATTTTAAATGTATTTTTTATTTAAAAATAAATGTTTTTTTATTTTTAATTTCACCATGTCTTCACTTTAGCATTTAAGCACAAATATAATGTAACTTGTACACTGTATTTCACAGCGCCTACTTTGCTGATTTATTTCATGAGCACAACCGTTACTGCATGTTAAAAGCCAAAAGGCGGATTAAAACACAAGGAGTAAATGTGGAAGACTTGTGATCTGACGAAAGAGTGTAAACAGTGGAGCCTGTAGCATTAGCTGGCCAGCCAGTTCAGTTTGTTTGGTTTGACCCAATCTTGGGTTTTAGGTAACATGAAGTCAGCTCAATTTTAGTCCCTCTTTGTTCTCATGGTACTATGGAGCATATAAGCTAAGCTACGTTCATGCTACCTAAAACCCAGAATTGGTGCAAACTTAACTGGCTAGCCAGCTAATCTGGCGTTATGGTACAGGCCGCTGGTCTTCAGGCAGTCCATTGTTCACATGAGCTCCACTGAAACTTGAAGGAATGAATCTTTTGCCCTCTCCAGGCCTCTCTGACATTCCCGGCGAGGCTATGGTGAAGCTCTACTGCCCCAAGTGTATGGATGTGTACACGCCGAAGTCATCCAGGCACCATCACACTGACGGAGCTTACTTTGGCACCGGCTTCCCTCACATGCTCTTTATGGTGCATCCCGAGTACCGGCCAAAAAGGCCTGCCAACCAGTTTGTGCCCAGGTTTGTCCTTCCTCCTGATTTTCTCAGATGAAGTCTACAGTTGTTCAGTTTGATCATAGTTGTTGTCTTTGTCCTCTTTCAGGCTTTATGGTTTTAAGATTCACCCAATGGCTTACCAGCTCCAGCTGCAGGCAGCCTCCAGCTTCAAGAGTCCCGTCAAAGCCATCCGCTAAACACCTGGGATGGGATGGGATGGGGTGGGGTGGGATGTCGGGTGGGTTGTGTGTCCGTCAACAAGGGCTCACTCTTCTCCTTCGATTTGACCGAGACTAACATTTAAATGTGGAGAGAGTGAGACTGTAAAACACTGGGGAGAAACTAAAAGCTTACCTCTGAAACACTGTACAGAAAATGAGGTGTTCCTTGTAAAAAAAACAAACTTCTTTCAGTTCTCAACCTCCACATAGAAAATAAAGATCTACTTAAAGATAGATAACTGTAGGATGGCTCTGCTCGCTCTCTGGTTACTGTTTGTTTTAGTTTGCTAATGCTAACATATAAAACAGTCTTGAATTGATGTCTTGTCAGTTCTCGGCATGGTGGATGGTTGGCTTTGAATGTAAAAGTAGGGTTGATTGGTCATCAAAACCCCATTTAAATTGGCTCAATCCCCTTCTCTGATATTTGGCTTATTGAAATAAAAAGGAAGGCTGTTGCATGATATATGCAGTATGTTTTGGGTTTAAGTGACGTCGCTGGGATTGTCTTTGACTGTTTTTTGTTGACAGACTGCAAGCTTTCACCGCATGCATAAGATAAGAGCAGAAATGGGAAGACAAGTGTAATCAGGAAACGCCATCTTAATTCGACATGTTTTTGTTTTAATATTTGGTACTGCACTCTTCTTCAGATTGACGCCAACCTGCTGCGTTCCTCCAGTGTCCAGATTCTTCAGACAAATTTGATTAGATTGACCAGAGTTAGGATGTTTTTTATGTTTGGTATGGGCCCAGGTTTTTCTTCTCTTGTTTAAAGTATTTCTTCTGGTAGAGAAGAGTCAGAGTAGAAAATATAAAATGGGTTTAAATGCATTTCTTTTGTGTGTGCTATTTCTTTTCTTTGATCCTGTTGAATGTTTTTTTTCCTTTACAGCTATTGAGGAACCAGGGTTCAGAATTCACAATAAATGTCTTTTCCTACAACTTGTGCTTGAGTTCTGCATTTTTGTAATCAATGTAAACTAAAGAAATCCCTGACCAAAGTCAATTTATTTTAGAAAGTTTTGCATTGCCTGCTCATTGTGTATCAAACTTGCTGAACAAAGCTCTTTATGTAGATGTCAAACAAAATACCTACATCATAATGAATGCAATATGAGGGAAAACCATGAATGGACATTTACATTGTCAACTGCATCCGTCTCAAGTCCAAACTAAAGCAGTCAATAAACAAACATAGGCAACCTGCAACAATAATTTGTACTTTTAGGAACAATATAAGAATACAGAATAAAGAAAAGTGCTTTCTTAGTAATTCAGTAGAAAATTTGTAGACATTGATAACGTCTCCTGACACCTGACCTGACCTGACACCTAACAAAAGGGTTTTAATCAATTATCCAATCTATTGCATGAAGTATGAATTTTACCCTCCACATGAGGTATGGATAGTGGCGTGTAAAAGCATCTTATTAATGTAGATTTACAAATGGAAATATGAAGCGCATACAACAAACCAAAAACAACATGAATAACAACTAAACAAATAGCTCAATCTTTCATGTAGACATAAGATCATTGTATAATGTACAGTTGGTTTTATTAATCGACTGCTGCCAGTTCAGTTGATATGATTGTTTGTATATGGCTGAACAGAATCCTGCAAAAGTCTTCATTTTTTTCTTTAAGTGTTTCCCTTCACTTACAGTTCTTCCTTGACTCCATTGAGAATAAGAGGTTTGGTAGCTTCACGCTTCAGGAAGTTGACAAAATCCTTCACTTCACGAGCTCCCTGAAATAGAATATAGTCTTTTAGCTCACAGTGATAAATAAATTATATTAGACAGTGACAACATAGATTACAGATAGTTCACCAATTAATGCAAAATTGCCAATAATTGACTCAACATAACACTAAATAATGTTCAGTTTCTTACATACACAGAACAATGCTTTATAAGACTTCAATGTATTTTTAAGTGCTATGGGTATTTATTTAGTCTCGCCTGTATGCTTAACTCTTGCCCCACCAGCTAAAATAACAAGAAAAAAATAGCCAGCCTTTAATCTAAATTTGACAGCTCACTGATTTTTTTTCTGATATGAATATATGACCATACTATATCTCAAAACAAAGAACTAACAATAAATAGATAAAAGGATCTTTATGTGTTCATAATGTGTACAGCATCTTGCAAAAAAACATAGTGACTGTGGAGGCCATTTGAATACCGTGAACTCATTGTCATGTTCAAGAAACCAGTCTGAGATGATTTACTCTTTATGACATGACATGTTATCCTGCTGGAAGTAGCCATCAGAAGATGGGTACGCTGTGGTCATAAAGGGATGGACATAGTCAGCAACAATACTTAGATAGGCTGTGGTGTTGACACAATGCTCAATTGGTACTTATGGGCTCAAAGTGTGCCAAGAAAATATCGCCCACATCATTACACCATCACCACCAGCCTGAACTGTTGATACAAGGCAGAATGGATTCATGCTTTCATGTTGTCGATGCCAAATTCTGACCCTACCATTGCAGCAGAAATCGAGACTCGTCAGACCAGTCAACATTTTTCCAATCTTCTACTGTCCAATTTTGCTGAGCCTGTGTGAGTTTCCTGTTCTTAGCTGACAGGATTTGCACCTGGAGTGGTCTTCTGCTGCTGTAGCCTATCTGCCTCAAGGTTGGACGTGTTGTGCAATTAGAGATGCTCTTCTGCATACCTCGGTTGTAACGAATGGTTATTTGAGTTACTGTTGCCTGTCTATCAGCTCTAATCAGTCTGGCCATTCTCCTCTGACATTAACAAGGCATTTGTATCCACAGAACTGCCGCTCACAGGATATTTTCCCATTTTCAGACCATTCCCAGTAGATCAACAGTTTCTGAAATACTCAGACCAGTCTGTCAGGCACCAACAACTATGCCACATTTAAAGTTACTTAAATCACCTTTCTTCCCCATTCTGATGATCAGTTTGAACTGCAGCAGATCATCTTGACAATGTCTACATACCTAAATGCAATGAGTTGCTGCCATGTGATTGGCTGGTTAGAAATGTGCGTCGACAAGCAGTTGGACAGGTGTCCCTAATAAAGTGATTGGTGGGTGTATATTGGGTGAACTATCCCTTTATAATGCACACCATAGTGTGAATAAATTCTACCTCATATCGTTTTGGCTCACTCTTTCTCCCAGCAGCAGCAAAATATATTGTAGGAAATCTGTTAAAGAAAAAACAACATTCAGTCATAAACATTGGCTCCCGATAGCAATCTGTTGTATGATGTGTGTTCAGCTATTTCTACTTGCCCTTGCACATCATAGCCTGCAGGAACATCGTTGACAGTCGCATCCATCTTGGCTATTACAATATTGGGATCACTGTATAGCTAATGATCACACAAAACAGCATCAGAATCAAATCAGACAGAGATAAAACTGATACCGATTTTTTGAATGTCTTGTAAAGTTCACCATTTCTCCAAGCGCTGTGTATTTGGGCTCCAGTTTCTTGCAATGGCCACACCATGGAGCATAAAACTCAATCAGCACGTCTTTTTCTGGGTCATTGACGATTTCTTCAAACGTATCTGCCACAACCACCTGTTCAGAGGCATCATGCTTTTAGTGATACTGTAAATAAAATCAATCAAGTGCATTAAAATCCTCACCAACCTTAACCACTCCATTGTTTATGGCAGGAACAGGCTCGGATTTGACGTAACGCTTGAGACGGCCAGCAAAATAGTCTTCTAGAAAACTCTCTAGAGACTTGCCATCTCGTCTGCAGAGTGTCCAGATTTACAGTTAAAACCAGATGTTATTAAAGCACAAGGAGGTGTAGTGTAGATAAATGAAGAATATTAATACACAAAAATACATTAAAAAGGAAAAGCTCATGATTAATATACTTTAAGAAGAACAATGTTAATCAGTTTAACACTACATAATCTCATTTACCAAAGATATCTGGTCAAGCATATTTAGAACTAGAATCATTTGACGACATTCATTGCTGAGGAAATTATTGGTATTTCAAATGATCATACTTCATTCAGCTTTGTTCAAATTCAAATATTTCTGTTTTTATTCAATTTAAATATAAAAGTCACTGTGACATTTGGTTTAATCCTTTATATATTTTAATAAACATTCACAAATTCATCAATTTCCTTCGGCTGAACCTTCCTGAACCGCCAACTACTCCGGTATATGTTTTACGCAGCAGAAGCCCTTTCAGCCTCAACAGTATGCCGTTTCATTTCATATTATGGTGAAAATATTTAAGTAGGCACTTTACTTGAATTTTAGATGTCATCTATTGATATACAACTATTTTTAAATATAATCTGGTGCAGATTCTGTATTGGGTTATAATGCCACTTATAATACATTTTATGAATTGTTACTCAATTAAAGTATTAATATTATACATTAAAGTACTTAGTACGGTGGCTGAGAGAGCTTAACATGCTGCAATTTAAGAAAACGTGCAATTACAAAAAACGCCAACAAATTAAAAAAAGATCCGTTTGACAGCACACATGCTGCAAATCCTCACAATGCAAATGCATAAAAATAAAAAAAAATGTGCTGCATTTTCATATAACGCAAACAATTAATAAAACACACTGCATTTTCTCACATCGCACATAATTTAGGAAAACGTGCTGCATTTTCTCACAACACTTGCAAAAACATTGGAACACAACAGAAATGTTTTAAAGGGCACCTAGGTTACCCTTTTTTTTTAGATTTATTATAAATCTTTTGTGTCTCCAGACTGTGTCTGTAAAGCTCAAAACACCCATCAGATTTTTTATTATACCTTTTATAAGATTCTATTTTATACATTTTTGGACTGGGTGGCGGTTTTGTTGTACTGCGTCTTTAAGGCTAGTCCTCTCCGCCCACTGTTTCTACGTGCATTTCACGTGAATTAATCTCCTGCCTTTTGTATTTTATTAGCCTAAATAAACGTAACCTAAATAGCTGGGTCTGTCATGTTTTAGGGTCCTCTTAAAACATTTCCGTTGTTCTCCGTTCTGTTTGAAAGTGTTGTAAGAAAATGCAGCGCGTTTTTGTAAGTTGTTTGCTTTGTTAGAAAATATAGAGCATTTTATTAATTTGTTTGCGATGTGAGAAAATGCAGTTCGGTTAATACATTTTTTTTTTTTGAGGATTTGCAGCATGGGTGCTGTCAAACGGATGAAGCTCTTTTCTCAATTTGCCGGGCAATTTTGTAATTGTATGTGCTTTCTTAAATTGTAGCACATTAAGCTCACTCGGTCAATGTAATTTAGGGTCTGAAAACAATATTGTTTATTTATTTCAATGCAGCACATTTTATTAATTTGTTTGTGTTGTGAGAAAATGCAGTTTGTTCTCAGAAATAGCTTGCTTTGTGAGAAAATGCAGTGTGTTTTATTCATTTGTTTGCGTTGTGAGAAAATGCAGCATTTTAAAAAAATATATATTTGCGTTGAGGATTTGCAGCATGTGTGCTGTCAAACGAATGAAGATCTTTTCTCAATTTGCTGTTTTTTTTGTTATTGCATGTGTTTTCTTAAATTGCAGAGCATTAAGCGCTCTCGTTCACCGTAATTTAGGGTCTGAAAACAATATTGTTTATTTAATCCATGGTCTCTTTAAATTGTTTATTTTGATTGGCTAGAAGGTGTGAAAGAAAATCATTTAATGCACAGGTAGTTTACAGTCAGTTTCAATCACAGTTTTAAATAAATGCACTTTCCTCAAACGCTAGCAGTCACCATAGCAACTCGGTGATAGTTGTCGAAGTAGACATTGCGGTTTCATCTCGAGAAAACACACACATGTGCTGTATCAGGGAGCCAATGTTTATCAACCAACATACAATCATGCACAAAATATATGTGAGAAGGAAGCTAACTCATGTTACTACAAGCTATTAGATGTGCCTTTGTCATGTGTATGCACACACGATCTCTCTCTCTCACCTGCACTCTTTGCCTCAGGGAGACCTAACGTGTCATAGCTGATATAAATTCAGTCAAATATTATGCTGCAAAACACATTACTAGATTTAACCCGTCTAATCCTTGACAAATAACCAAGGGTTAAGCATGTCACTAAGTTGCTATGGTTACTGCTAATGTTTGAGGGAAGAGGATTTATTTTGAACTGTAAACAAAACTCACTGGGAACTACCTCTGCATTAAAGGATTAAAGGACAGCCAATCAAAATCAAGACTTTCAGCAGACCTTGGAATAAATAAACAATATTGTTTTCAGACAGGATAACTGATACGTTGATTATCCCTTACATAAAGCACACACCTACCCTACTTGACAAAAGTTTTAGGAGTAACAAATATTAACTTGACTTCTAGTTGATCATTTGGTATCAGAAGTGGCTAATATGAAAGGCAAAGGCCTCCAGATAACGCTTATTTTCCCAAAATAAAATATGATCATGCCTTGATTTTTTATTATTTAATTAGCACATTAAGGTCTGGCTTCGATTAGACAAAAGTCTTGTCGCTCAACAGAAATAATGTACAGTATAGAATATAAAGTCATGGTGCAGTGGAAAAAGAATTAATATTGTGTATGAGTCCCTTGAGCTTGAATGACTGCATCCATACAGCTCTGCACTGACTCAAATAACTGATTAATAAAGTCCTCTGCAATGGCAAAGAAAGTGTTCTTGCAGGACTCTCAGAGTTCATCAAGATTATTTGGAAGGTTATTCATCTTCAATGCCTCCTCCTTCATCTTACCCCAGACATGCTCAATAATGTTCATGTCCGGTGAGAAGGAGCGCTATCCTGCTGAACAAATTGCCCTCTTCTGTGTTTTGTATTGTAATTGGCAGCACATATGTCTTGATACCTCAAGCTGTTGATGTTGCCATCCACTTTGCAGATCTCTCACACCCCCCATACTGAAATGTAACCCCAAACCATGACTTCTTCCTTACCAAACCTGAATGACTTTTGTGAGAATCTTGGGTATATGCTGGTTCCAATAGGTCTTCTGCAGTATTTGTGTTGATTGGGATGCAGTTCAACAGATGATTCATCTGAAAAATCTACCTTCTGCCACTTTTCAATTCAATTCAATTCAATTCAATTCAATTCAATTCAATTCAATTCAATTCAATTCAATGATCAACTAGAAGTCAACTAATTATTTGTTGCTCTTACAACTTGAATTGACGACAAGAATTTTGTCAAAAAGTGTATTAATATCAAATCTAGATAACCAATGATAACTATGATGCTGCCTTATTATAACCAGAGTTGCACATCTATGATTTGAATAATGTATACAAAAAATGAGTGTTTAATTAGTGTTAGTGGTTTGTAGTGGCAAGAAATTTGAGCAATAAATCATGCATAACCTTTTCTAAATCCGAATGGTTCCAGTATGAAGCGTCTGTACTCACGTAAACTCCTCCCTCATACTGTATTTGTCTCCTGTTCGTGTCCTGATGGTGACAAAGGGCAACTCATTTCCATCTGATGCACTCAGACCAAACTCTTCCTCCAGCTCCTCCATAAAGTCATTACGGTTCGCCACTGAGAACAGCATGCCCTGAGAACTGAACTTAGTTGCCACCTTCAGCACTCTGAATACAATATTAACAAATAAGACAAAAGAAGTACAAAACAAATGTGTGCCGAGTAAAAAAAACATACTTCCTTGCTGACTGTGATAGACTCACCTGTTCCTCCAATAGTTGGAGCCTTTTGGGTTGTGAAGATAATCCAAGTCATAGTAAGCAGTTAGTAAATCCCTCTTCCTTAGTACCTCCTTATTATCTTTGGTCATGTGCGGACAGAGCCCAAAACTACAGAGCAAAAACAATGGTGATGTCAACAGCTGCCGTCTGTATGTTTGTCATGGGACTGTGTGCGTTGTGTGAGTGTCTGCTCACATGTTGTCTCTGATGAAGCGACGCAGGCCAGTGACGGACAGTGATCCTGTGTGAGGAACCACACTCTCCTCAAACTTACTGCTTAGTCTGGGCGCACGGAACAGAAGAATGGATCTAAAGGGAAAGAGTTTACAGATCTATAATAACCAGAATTGTTGCAATACGATGCAATGTTCAAAGTTATGAGTACAGCAAACCAAAATTGAAACATTTAAATAGATTAAATAGATTGGTCTTAATACTGAATATTTATTTCAAGAAACTAAAGCATACATTTTCAGCGTAATTTTTCTAGTCAACAGTGTCACATGATACTTGAGAAATCATTTTTAATATGTTCATATTAATAAACCTCTCAGTTAATCTTTTAAGCTAATTTCTGTTAATGGTGTTTGGGTAGTATTATTTTTCTTTGTTCACTGTTTTTGAGAATTAAAAGAATTACTATGAAACTATTTTGACTTTTCTCATTTAAACTAGGATATTGCACTTGTGATGCATTTGGAATTTAAATGAACCAATTCCAACCAGAAACAAATATTCTCTAGTTTTGCAGTTCATATACATGAATGACAGATGAGTTGTCTTTCCACGGTTTCTGCAGGTTTCACTAAGTAAAATTTAAGTCTTTTTAAAAAACCTTTAAAGAACATTATAAATAAAGTTCATACTTCAGGCATGTGATCAGCCGAGAAAAAAAAAGAAGAAATATTCCACGGGATAAATAAACTACAAGCCAGTCAACAATTCAAACTGCAAAAATATTAAGTCCAGATAAATTGAGTAGCCTAATATACTTTAACATTCCACACTGAAAAAAATATCATACAAAGCTAAAATGTTTATCACTTTCACTTTTTCGGCTTAGTTTAGTAATTAAAAAAACATTTTTATAAATTTGTAATATCATCTAAGTTTATGAAATATTTTGGTATTACATTTCAGGTGCTAGGCTGTAGAACTAAATAAATGAAGACATAAGGACAGGTGACTTGCAGAGGATAATAACATGTTCTAAAATATGCATCCTGGCTTTATTTCCAATGTACATAGAGCACACATAGTCATGATGTGCAAATGTGAGAGCGGAAATATTACACAATATTGTTATAGTAGCATAGGTAGGTCTACAATTACATCCCTGAAAGATGTCCGGAATGAAGCAGTTACTGCAGCTCCTTTTGGAAAATGATGAAAAATGAAGAGGAAAACCATTTGGTTGTCTGCTTTGATGACGATGAACCTCACAATGATTTTTTTTCTAATGGTTTGTTTGGAGCAATGAAAATGATTTTTACTTGTCCCCGTAAATTTTTACTTGCTTGTCCACAGGTTAATATAAATAGATGCAAAACTTAAAAAAATGTTCTTGTAAAGCAGACAATTAACCTCTTAAGGCCCAAGGTGTTCTTGTACATGCATTTTTAATGTGTCTTTGCTATTTGGGCTTAATGCAACCTAATTAGAATAAAACCTGAGTATCATCTTTTGATATGATGTACTTTTAGAGAAAAATGATGTCCATATATGTGGACTCGTGGACCGAATATACATAAAACACTTTTTTTCTGACAGATTTTTAATGCATATATAACATATAATTAAATGAAATTGAAGACATTTGAAGTTATAAGACTGCACGGACACACTGTATTCATGCTTTATCAATAAAGATAGAAATATAAAAATTTGATAAACCGCATATGTTGTTGTGGCCTTGGAGTCCCCAGTAAACCATATTTATAGTGTAGATTTGTATTCTGCATTATCCTAGCTTGTCTTGGCACAGCTGTCTGTGTTCCAAGTCCAATATGAGCATTTTTTTAACCATTTTCTATGTTCAAGTCATTATTCTGATCAAATCAGGTGCATGGTTTGTCTGTTGGCCGAAAATAGTGGCACATCTGTGTTATGGTTGACTAAACCAACCGTCAATCAAACTTCCTGCAAATGTTAAATTATTGCTCCTTAAAAGAAAAAGAAAAAAACATAAGAAGTTTATTTACTCATGTGTGACACCATATTTCTGTCCAAGCTGGAGGTCTGTGGTGTGGGCAAAGCGGAAACTTTCCCTCATTAAACTGGCTCCTTTAAGAAACTCAGCAAGCTGAGAGCTGTCAGTCCCTGAGAACAACCCTGAGAGATGGAGAGATGGTGAAAATGTAATCAAATTGAATGAAAATATTTCAATGCTCATCATTTTAGATCTCAATGTTATATTTACAGTGCATTATAAGTTTTTAACTTATAGCATAAACAATAGACAATATATACAACCATTAAAATGTATTTACCAACTACACTGGCATCAAAATGATTGATGAATTTCTCCAGATCAAGCTCACTATGCAGAAGCACAGAATCAGGACCGGCCTGTTTCTTCATATAGTCCACGATTCCATCTGTTTGGGAAGTATGGCATCATTAGCAAATTTGCATTAGACACACATCATTCGAAATGAAAAATAAACTTACCAGCGGAGCGCGGCCCATCATACGAAGATGATTCATGCCCATTACGAAATATTTTGAGTGTGGGGTATCCATTTACACCGTAGTGCTTGCAGATCTCTGTGTTAGCGGTACAGTCCACCTGAACAAAGCAAGTCAAACATCCCTAAATCATCAGATGAACACACAAAGATAACACCAATCTCTGCTTATTCCCCTGCAAACATCACTGCATCACATAAGGCCTTTTAATACTCAGTGTCCATAAAGTTTCACAACAAAGCAAGGTCTACCAGAATAATCTGGCTCCGTGCTGATGATTGCTGGAGAAGATCACTAAGGCTCAGTTTGTAAATGCTAAAATAGTTTTTAGTAAAAGCACTTAGTCTGACTGGGAAAATAGAGTAATCCGCATTATGTACTATTTCAAAAACATTTTTACAATTATTACTTAAGATCTATAACATTTAAAAGATATTACACCTTTCATGCACATTAAAGTAAAATTAATTTACTAGTCAAAATCTTTCAAAGCAATATTTGTTATGTTGTGTGGGTAAAATTAAATATGTAGGTGTGTCATACATCTACACAGTTTTGAACAATCATAAGCTTCAAATGAATTGATCTACATTCCATTTATTCTAACTGCATCTATAATGGCATGATATATGATTATATGTGTATGTTCTTATAACTTCACGTATCTATACAATCAAATAATTTTTCATTTTTAAAATTACACAAACAATGAAAATTAAATAAATAAATAAATGTTTAGTTAAATCAATAAGTAGTATTTAAATATCATGGTAAAACATATAAACATTAAAATTTAGATTTTCTTTTACATTCTCTCATAATTGAAAAGTTGATCAGATTTAATAAGGTTTTAGTTGGAAAAAAAGATTTATAAAACTACGATTCTTTAGGTCAAATTTATTAATATTTAGCTTAGTATTATAATTATAATTGTATATATATATTTTTTTTAGGTTAGGAATGCTATTTAATGCCCTTGACGATGCTTTTAAATAGTGTATGTTTCAACCTGTATTTATCCTAGTATCAAACATAAAACATTGTACCAGGTTACAAAAAACCAACATTTATTCTGCAATTTTAGGAAATGCATGATGAAAGTCACATGACCAATACCTTGTTTACTAAATCAGTGGTTTCCAAAGTGGGGGTTGGGGGACAATGTCAGTGCGTCCCTTGGTGATTTTCAAAAGTCAAATAAATTTTATTAAACCATTACAATTACCATATTTTATCCACAAACCAAAGACGATAAAGATAATATTTAATAGTTACATAAAAAACAACAACATGCAAATGAAAAACCATCAACCTTTCAAACTTATTTTTTTAGAGCATTGGTGTGTTTATGTTAGATTAACAACACAGCAATAGCGTCAGCAGCAGCAGATTAATTTTATAGCACCAGGTTAAACTTACTGACACCTTTATGGCAATCAAATACATTTAAAATGAATACAGGACACAAATCAATATTGGGAATGATCTCTGAGTGGCCATCTCCAAAATTAAACTAAGAATAAACTTGTGCTGAAAATGTTGTATCCACCAGCCTCTTTAGGTAAGGTTAATATTACATTAAATAAATAAATGACTATAAAAAGTATCCAGTTATTAGACTGTTGCACTTTTTTGTGTTGTCAATATGCTCGTGTTTATATAGGCCTATAGTTGTGTGCGCAACATTTGAATATTTCTTACCACCGCCAAGAAATGTGTGGGTCGTGAGTTAACGGCATTGTAGTTTTTGGGGTTGTGGGCTTAAAAATTTTGGGAAACCTTGCAATAAATGTTGATATAGAAATTGCTTCAATTTTTTGTTTGCATCTCTATTGATTTTATAGAATTATCCTATGTCCAACTCCTATGCATCTATCAACTATCATGCAGGCGTTCATTGACAATATTTATCACTGTTACATTGACTTCCAATGTACAGTAAGAGCATTACTGTACATGTCAATTCCTCAAATGTCAAAGGCAAGAGATCCAGAAATGGCCATGTTAATTCCTACAGTAAATTGCTCACCTTGGCTAAAGTAACTGTTCCCTTCAGTCGAGAAGCTGCACTTTCAAACTCTGGGGCAAGTTTCTTACAGTGACCACACCTGAAAACAAAACAGAGTAGAAATTTATAATCAATCAAATGATAAGCTGGAATGTTTGCATTAAATAATAGCAGTAATGCTTTTAAATGATGAACATGCAATCTAAAAGTATGGCGTTTATTAAACCAGGATTAAGCGTTTCCCAAAAAAAAAAAAAAACCAAAAAAAAAAAAAAAAAAACATTGCGTTGCTTTATTAAAATAAACAACGGCTCTCCCACAAACCCACTTTCCTCGTAATTGGCAGCTGTACGCCGGTACCATGGACAGCTCACGCCATCACATACAGCAGCATTGTACCGCGAGTTGCAAACGCGCGTAGGCATTCTCCATATTCTCATTTAACAACAAAATATTCACAATTGCACATTTTAATCTGTAAATGAATCATTATTGTCTCACCATGGAGCATAAAACTTCACCAGCAGGGTCTCGTGCTCGGGCGCGAGGTAGTCGAAGTCCGCGTCTGTCAGCTTGAGCACATCACTGTGTTCACGCGCCGACGAGCTCAACGAACACACCAATATACATAAAAGCCCGCGCGAAATCATTTCATCCATCATGGCAGAAAAACAGAACAATTCACTACATGCAGAAATAACACTGGATTAAAAAATGCTCCTGACCGGGCGGTTTCCACTGATATGTGTGTGTGCCAGTGTGAAGGGCGGGATGAAAACACAGTGTGTCGCTGAAGTGGGCGATGATTGGCTAGTCTTTCTACAGCTGATGAGATGTAATAAGGCCATTGGCGGATTTCTCCATCACTCAATGCTCCTCCCGGGGACTCATTTATTGCAGTAGTACGGTCATGAATCAATATTCGACGTATTCATAACAATAAACAATTAAATAATTTATTTGTGTTACTCTTTCACAAAATCACACGTGAGCCCTTTATACAATTGTTAATTCATAAGGTTATGAATTAAATTAAGACAGTTCATGGTCATTTATGGCATTATAAATGGTTCTTTTTGTTGACGTAGGAAAAATATATCCTGTTGAAAAATGTCCTCCTACAGTTTAAACATGTCTGACTTCATACATTTGTAATACTACATGTTCAAGTACTTTAGGAATTGTAATTTGATGTGTTATACTGTTCATCTATCAGTTCAGGCGGCAGGTCCAGCCTGCACCCACTGTCTTTTCATCAACTTTTTATCAAGTTCTTTCACAATTTTAATTTCAGTCTAGATAATCTTCAATCATACTGGACTGGATCACTGTGTCCAATTGTCTGGTGTGTGATGTAACTTGCTGGATTTGTGAAACAGCTTAATGAGATCTTGAAATCGCTCTGAAACCTGAGGAGAAAAGCACAAATTACTTTTTCTATATATAACAATATATAATGGCTGATATGAATGCAGCACACAGTTGATTAGACTGGATTGCTAAACAATATGTTAAAAACCAAGAATAGACTTTCCGAAAACCTGTGTAACACATTAAAAATAAATACTAAAAAAGTTATTTTATGAAGCTTTCTTAAACCGATGCATTCAATGTCACTTCAACAATATGCCCCACTCACTTATTAAAATATGCTTTGTACACAGGTTGACTTTGTAAAAATTGAAATAAAAGTGACAATAAAAGGAGTAAGAATGAAGGGTCAAATCACTAACTTTATTTTATTTAGCAGTTTGACATTAAATGATGCGTTGTCTAAATTTTTTTCTGTACAGATTTATATAACTAAATTGTTAACCTGGATTTAATTTTAATATTACAATTTAATTTATTTAAAGGGCACCTATTTTACAACTTTTTTCAAGATTTAAGAGAGTCTTGTGTCCCCAGAATTTGTCTGTAAAGTTTCAGCTCAAAAAACCCATCAGATAATTTCTTATACCTTTCAGAATATTGGAGTTTTCTGCTCTAAACACAATGTAGCTGTTTTTGTTGCCTGTGCCTTTAATGTTAGTTCTCTCCTCCCACTTTTCCTACGTGGTTGTCAGAGTGTGCCTCAATTTCTGCTTCGGCTGCATCAGATAAACAGCACAGTGACAGACATGAAGGAAGCAGATCTCATGAAACGTTTGTGAGAAACTCTACAGTAAGAACTTTCCCAATGATTATTCAATGTATTTGTTGTGGAATTAATTCAAGCCTTTCTATAGCCCCTTTCACACATACAGACCTTTCCGGAAAATTGCCGGAAAGATTGTATGTGTGAACAGGTCCTTTTTGAAAATACCGTTAAATTCGTTCTGGCTATTTTCCGGAAAGAGAAGTTGTAACATTACCGGCAATTTGCCGGAATGCTGCGCTGTGTGAACGCAGAAGGAAGATTCCCGTAATAAGCGCGTGCACGTCTAGAACGTGCTGACGTGAGACGTCTGCCTTAGCCAATCACAACAGTCAGACGCATTTACGTCCGCGCGGTTTGTGAGGATAAAAGCCTTTGAATATTTTTCCAGACACATTTAGCTGCTAGAAGTTAGTCAGATCACGTTTATATGTTTTTCTTAATGTCAACTGTGTAAATAATCATCGATGAGATGCTTATGATAAGCCGTTGTTTGTTTACCTTCAAGCTTTGCGTGTGCCTGTGAAACAGCCTGTGAGCGCCTGCACATGCACATATTATGAACATCTCGACATGCGAAAGTGATCCTGCGAAAGTTGTTCACAATATTGATCATCCACAGAGTTTGTGATGTAGTCAAATGTTTACAAATACAAGCGCAGCCGTTTAAAGCTCATTTGTGGTGAATGATGTCAGATTTTACCGGTATTTTGGAATGGATGTGTGAATGCTCTTTTCCGGAAAATTTCCGTAACGTCCTCGCCTGTGTGAACAGCGCTTTTTTTAATATACCGGTAAAGTCGTTCCGGAAATTTTCTGGATATTTATCGGGTTCACTGTGTGAAAGGGGCTTATGAGTCACAAACAATGTCGTTACATATTTCATGCACACACATACAAACATGCAGCGTGCACATTTAACTTTGCACTCTTTTTGCACAGCAAATGTGGCAGGACACGTTAATATCTACTGCTGTATGGGTATCCATTATAATAATGTACAAAATAAACCTTATTTAACGTCCACAAACAAGTATTGAAGCATCTTCTTTTATAATTGTACTCACATGTGACTGTGGTGATGAAATAAAGACGGTATAAACACTGTAATTTTTACAAACATGCACTGTTTTGAAAATGTTTTTAACTTGTAAAACTCATGCTTGATCACATTTGATCATAGAGAGCTCAACAGATATCCCAGTAGCTTTGCACATGTCCTGTCTTGTTGATATGATTGTTCGCGTTACTACAAAGACATGTTAATGTGGCTGTCATACAATTTGGATCATATTTTAACGTCAGGACATTTTTAAAAAAAGACACTTATTGTCATTATATGACCCCAATATGACTATGGACACACTATACCTACAAACAGTTCTGTTCAAACAGCTTACAAAAGATGATTTTCGTCATAGGTGCCCTTTAAAATTTCATAAAATTTGCACCTGCAACATGAAGTTTTTGTATCTATATCTTGGATAGGTTAAAACATTCATGTTTTGGTTTTTACAATAGCTTGCCATGTTTGGGTGAACAATGCCTTAAAAGAATTGCACTGTGATATTATTTTAATCTTATTTTCATGTTTTAAGGTTGAATTAGGATTTATTTGGACAAGATTTTTGTGAGAAAAAGCATGAAAGAGCTCAAACCTCGCTGGCTGTTTTGTTGCCAAGCTGAGCTGCAATGGCATGAAATGTGGTCTGCTTGGCTCCTCTTTGCTGACAGGTGGTCAATATTACACGGTCTGCCTCCCTTTTTAATCACACAAACAAAGCACAGAAACATTATTTATATACACTGAATATGTGCTTAAACTTCACAAATTGCAGATGTACAAAGATTGAGTAGCTACCAAAATCAACAACAATCAGAGTTGTGCAAAATAACAAAATTAAGAATTGGCTGTTTTTTTTTTTTTGGGGAGTTTGCTCAAAACTAACCAAAAATTTGCACTAGCAGTATAACAAAAAAATAACTATTTAATAATAATAATAATATCGGTCAAAATCTAGTGTCAATAAGATGCTTTTCATAGCTGTATTATTTGAAAATAGGATGCACAATATATTGGCAGCCATATTGATATAGTAATACTGGTCACACTTTACAATAAGGTTCATTAGTTAATGTTAAGTAATGCATTTACTAAGATGAACAAACAATGAACAATACATTTACTACTGTATTTGTTCACGTTAATTAACGTTAGTTAATAAAAATACAGTAGTTCATTGTTAGTTCATGTTAACTCATGGTGCATTAACTAATGTTAACAAGCATGGACATGAATGTTAATAATGCATTAGTAAATGTTCAATTATGATTAATAAATGCTGTACATGTGTTGTTCATGATTAGTTCATTTTAGTAAATGCATTAACTAATGAACCTTATTGTAAAGTGTTACCGTAATTCTTAACGCTATTAGGCAATTAGGCCGATATCTTTAAGCCGATAAATTACAAAATTGTACAGAACTGCCTGCATTGTAAACACGAGAGAATCTTGTGGGAGTGAAGTACTAAAAGTGTAAAATGACTAACAATTTTATATTACTGTAAGACTTTTTATTCGAGAACCATTTGAGCTGGTTTCAGTTCTTAGTTCTTTCTTTTTATTTTTCCTTTTCCTTTTATTTAAAATATATTTAACTTGTTTGCTAATTAAATCCAGTTTTGTCATTTAACCTATTATCTTTATGCAACAGTCAAGTTGCATGTTAATTTGCTATGTGAAGAAAGGAAATTATTTATTTCTGGCATGCAATTTGAAGTGAAATTGTGAATAGGTCAATATAATCACCAAGCAGTTTTGAAATTATTGCTTTTTTGTTTTGAGTAGACTATTTTAAGATCAGTTCAAACTTTTATAAAGTTTTAAAAATAAAATCAGTTGTTCACTGTACAAAAATATAACATTTTGAAATATTTATATTTATCACTATAGTACATCGGTTATCCTTATCGGTGCATCCCTATTTGAAAATACAGTCAAACAGTAATATTGTCAAATATGATTAAAGTAATAAAAATCTGTTTTCATTTTACATTATTTAAAACAGTATTTTTACTCCAATCTCTTCAGAAAACTTTCTAATATGATGATTTGCTGATCAAGAAACAATTATTATTATACTCAATTAGGAAAGCTCCGATCGATCAGCGGAGATCGGTATTGGCCGATAATAACATTTCATGATCTCTTGAACTGATCGCAAGTATTTATGAGTTTACAAGTGTGAGTGATTGCAGCTGTAATATATACAGATGTGAAGCAACCTCTGTTTACAGTCTATAGGTTCGACTCGCATGAATGAGGGTCTCTTTGTTGCAACCATTGTATATCCAGTGTTTTGAGCTGCATGAGCTGTTTTATCTGGAAAGCTTTTTCTGGCCATGACATGTTCATACCTAAATAGTAATAAGAGATGTGTTTAAGGGATTATATGCTGCATGCTTAATTAATTATTTAAGGCAAGGAGAGATCTTCACTTAAGCATCATACTTAGAAGAAAAATGTGCTTTATGCATCATAATGCTTGAAGCACCAGAATCGGCACTCGGTATCGGATGATCACCATAACAAGAAATCGGTACTCAATATCAGCGGCGAAAATCCCGAAGGGAGCATCCCTATGGTCAATATAAAATTTTTTTGTGAAGAAAAAATATATCAGTTTGTTTCAGGTTTATCTGACGAACAGAAATGTCAAATGAACAACATAAAAATATGCACAATTAAATGCATTCTTCTTGTAAACAAAAATATATAATAATAATAATAAAATTTGTACTCATCCCAAACTATACAGTGTGCAACAATGAGACATTTCTGTATATAAAAATACACATGAATATAAAAAGGTGGGAACATCTAATGTATGCGGTTAAACTAATGCTTTTTGTTTGCTTTTCCCAGTTTTATTTGAATTCTATTAGCTATATTTATAGAATATTTCTCATTTAATTCTGAATACCACAAAACCTTAATAACAAAAAAATATATCTGAAATTGGTGAGGCAGTGGCGCAGTAGGTAGTGCTGTCGCCTCACAGCAAGAAGGTTACTGGGTTGCAGGTTTGAACCTTGGCTCAGTTGGTTCTGTGTGGAGTTTGCATGTTCTCCCTGCCTTCGCGTGGGTTTCCTCCGGGTGCTCCGGTTTCCGACATGCGGTACAGGTGAATTGGGTAGGCTAAATTGTCCATAGTGTATGAGTGTGTGTGTGTGTGGATGTTTCCCAGAGATGGGTTGCGGCTGGAAGGGCATCCGCTGTGTAAAAACTTGCTGGATAAGTTGGCGGTTCATTCTGCTGTGGTGACCCCAGATTAATAAAGGGACTAAGCCGACAAGAAAATGAATGAATGAATGAATGAATATTTGAAATTAAAATAATGCACCAACAAATAAAGCAGGGGCTCTCAAACCTTTCAACCCACGACCCCAAAATAACAATGCCAGTGAATTGTGACCCCCAATAACCTCTGGGGTGGTTATAAATATAGAAACCTTGCGAACAACAGCACACAAACACTTATAAGCCCAAGTCTGTTCTTCATTAAATTTCTTTAAAATGTATGCGAGTGCTGTAAAAGTATCAGAAAGTTTCACCTGGTGCCGTAAAATCAATCTGCAGCAACTGACGCTATTGTTGTGTCTATAATACAATGTAATCACCCCAAGGGTTGCAAATCCAATAGAAAAAAAATCAGAAGGCTGTAATTATAAACTACTATTTTTATCTACAGTAGGTTATGGATAAAATATGGTAATTCTTTTTTTTATTATTATTTTTGCCCTTTTTGCCATTATTAGATAGGACAGTATTGAGACAGGAAGCAAAGTTCTAGAGAGAGTGGGGTAGGGTAGGGAAATGTCCTTGAGCCGGGATTCCAACTTGGAACACTCTGACGTGCTACTGCACCATAGTTATTAGCATTGGCATGCTAATCACTAGGCTTATGCGCCAACAAAATATGGAAATTCTAATGGTTTAAAAAAATGAATGAGATTTTTGGAAATCACTAAGCGACACCAAGCTTCATTCTTCTGCAAACCAATGTGGGGTCCTGACCCCCACTTTGGGAACCAGTGAAATAAACAACAGATATATGTTGTAATGCCAGACATGAATGCAACAATTCTAACCTTGTCCAGAGGACTACTTTTTTCCCAGCTGATGTGTGAGAGATATTTTTGGCACAAACAGAGCTTCCTGTGGCATTAAATAAAGACTGTTGACTGTCCCCCAAAGAAGCTTCAGAATCCTTATCCAACATTGCACTGCTATTCTTGACCTTGTTCCTTCTCATTTCTGCCATCTAAGAGAAATGACATATCGTGTAAGATAAGTCAACTAAAACAGAAAAAAAAAATTGACAAAAAATAAATAGAAGGGCTATATGAAAGAAGTAATACCTGAGCATGTTTGTTTGTTTTTCTTCTATGTTTAATTGATGTTTTGTCTGTCTCCAGTTTTTTATCCGCTAACATATTTCTGCTAGGCTGAGACGGCTGTTTTTCTTCCAGGACTTGATTTGTTTCCACATTTTCTTGCACTTGAGGGTATATCTGTTTAAAATATTCCCAGAATTCCTCCAGCAAGTCAGTGTGATCACGGAGCAGCAATGCCATTTCAGCCTTTATCTGAAAAATAAATACACATGAATAAAATTATCATATTTCAGAAAATTAATGAAGCACTGCTAATCTGCTTGTAAGCTTTTTTTTTGGGTACCTCTTTTAAATCAGCGAGACCCTGTGACTGATCCCCTTGTAGAATGTGCACCACCTTTCTGTAGAGATATGACTGCTCTCCAAAAGTGCTCTCCAGCTGGCGGAGAAACCCTCTGCTGCGCTCAAACGCCTGCTGCTCTGCCAGCTAAAGCCACACATTAACAACAGCATCACATTAATGTTATAAAACTCTTCCGAGTGTGTGCTATAATGGTAGCTGCTGTCAAAACACTGCATTATAAAGCCTCGAAACCTTTACGAATCTTTTGTTTTAAATCAGTGGCTTTAAATTGGAAATGTCATGTGGTTTAGTAAACAAAGCTTCATTGTGTTATTGCAGTTTTAAAAAATGTAATTGTTTTCTGCTTGAAGGTGATCTGTCTAATACCATAAAATCCACATACACTAACTGGCCACTTTATTAGGTACACCTCACTAGTACTGGATTGGACCCTTTTTTGCCTTCAGAACTGCCTTAATCCTTTGTGCAATAGATTCAACAAGGTACTGGAAATAATCCTCAGAGCTTTTGGTCCATATTGACATGATAGCATCACGCAGTAGCTACACATTTATCGGCTGCACATTCATGATGTGACTCACTTGTTTTACCACATCCCAAAGGTGCTCTATTGGAATGAGTTCTGGTGACTGTGGAGGGCATTTGAGTACAGTGAACTTATTGTCATGTCCAAGAAAGCAGTGTGAGAGTATTCGCTCTTTATGACATGGCACGTTATTCTGATGAAATTAGCCATCAGAGGATGGATACACTGTGATCATAAAGGGATGGATATGGTCAGCAAAAATACTCAGGTAGGCTGTGGCGTTGACACGATGCTCAATTGGTACTAATGGGCCCAAAGTGTGCCAAGAAAATATTCACCACACCGTTACACCACCACCACCAGCCTGAACTGTTGATACAAGGCAGAATGGATTCATGCTTTCATGTTGTTGACGGCAAATTCTGAGCTTACCATCTAAATTTCGAAGCAGAAATCGAGACTTATCAGACCAGGTAACAATTTTCTAATCTTCTATTGTCCAAATTTGGTGAGCCTATGCGGACTGTAGCCTCAGTTTCCTGTTTTTAGCTGACAGGAGTTGCATCCGGTGTGACCTCCTGCTGTTGTAGCCTATCTGCCTCAAGGTTGGATGTGTTGTGCGTTCAGAGATACTCTTCTGCATACCTCAGTTGTAACGAGTGGTTATTACTGTTATTACAATATTAATTACTGTTGCCTTTCTATTAGCTCAAACCAGTCTGGCCATTCTCTTTTGACCTCTGTCATCAGCAAGGCATTAGCGCCCACAGAACTGCCATTCGCTGGATATTTTCTCTTTTTCGGACCATTTTCTATAAACCCTAGAGATGGTTATGCGTGGAAATCCCAGTAGATCAGCAGTTTCTGAAATACTCAGACCAGCCCGTATGATACCAACAACCATGCCACGTTCAAAGTCACTTAAATAACCTTTCTTTCCCATTTTGATGCTCAGTTTGAACTGCAGCAAATCATCTTGACCCTGTCTACATACCTAAATGCATTAAGTTACTGCCATGTGATTAGCTGGTTAGAAATTTACGTTAATGAGCAGTTGGACAGGTTTCCCTAATAAAGTGGCCGGTGAGTGCATATGGACCCCACATTTGCGGATTTCTCAGAAGCGGATATCATCATAGCTTGGTAAGCTGTATTGAATAGTAGAGTACAACAACAATTTTTTTACAATCCTATTTGCTGAAATAATAAAAGAAAAACTTTGCAGTCGTGTTTCGTAGAAAAAAGGAAATTTTTTTTTTTGAAAAATTGCGTGAGTGAGAACAGGAGGCAGAGGAGAGAACAACATCAAATTTAAAGTCCTGCCCATAGACAGTGCGTTAGATTCACCTTGTGTAGTGGTAATTTGTTTTTGTAATTTGATGCAAAGATAATACAATACATTTGTAAATACACATAAATGTTCACACGTTTTTAAAAAAATATATTTCAATTATTAAAAACTTTCAAGCATCTAAGATTATGATGACCATTAAATGAGTCATAACTGGCTTGTGAAAAGGGTGAATCGCTGAATAGGTTACATAGCTTTTAGCTAATCTCAGATCAGTTTTCCGAGTTTGTAGAGGTTTTAGTTAAACATTTATAAAATCAAAAGTAATAAAAGTTAATAGAGTCTTGTTGGACTATGGTACAAGCAAAACATATGCCTTGAAAATTTGTAAAAGAACGCATATTATGCAGACATTAATTAATTAATTATAATAGAAAAGTGCATTTATAGGTTATACTATTTTATATGTTATACTATTTTATACAATTTTAATAAACATTTTTGTTGCATTTACACTGTTTTGACTACCAGGGGTCCATTCTTGGTACCTCGCTTAAATGATCTAAGACGATTTGGCAATTCCTGGATCTTTTAATATTGATAACTGATCTCTGTTTAATTTGGTTCTTCAAACAAGTTTGCGAATCAGATTAAAATGTCTGGATGAACTGATCTGAGATCGCTGTGTGTGTTGTGAAGGACTGATCTACTGATACTCGAAATCATGATCAGCAATACAGTGATTGGCTGACAGCACAGGACTGTAATGACATCACCTGAATAATATTCAATTATCCTTGTAAGCAAAATTACATAAAATTCATATTAAACGGTTTATTAAATATGATACGCAATAACTTTCCACATTTGTTGTGAGCTGTAGGCTTTACACTTTCATTTTCAAGAGTGTTTAGTAATTTATTAAGTTTTACTTTTAGAGCAGAGTTTCTTTATCACAGGCCAATTCAAGTTTCTTAATAAATGTCTGTTTAAATTAATTGTAATAAAGCAAAACTCCAGTTGTCCCTAGCAAGTAGTGTTTAGAACATTTTGAAACACAAAAATCATACCTCGGTGAAAGTTTTATGTGACCATTTCCAATTACATAAGGTTCTTTTTACAGCATCTTTGTTGTAATATAATTAAAATATACTTAGTTATAATCAATCATTTAGTTGCTCAACGAGATGAAAGATCATTTAAATGCAAGTACCATCAGCAGCAGCAGGCTAGTACATAACTCTATTGAAAATACAGTGGTAAAATAACATTTCCATATTATTATTATTATAATTTCCAGACATGGCACAGAACAATGTAATTTAATTCAGCGCTTCTTGTCTGGTCTGATACCCTCTTTATATTTCTCAGTCAGGGAATGAAGATCATTGAGTTTTAAAAAAATCAGATCTAAATGTGGTGATTTTATAATGGCATGACAGTTGACTGGAAGCTCTTGAGCTGGCTGACTGAAAAATAAAGTCTGTGTGTGCTTACCCCATTGGTTCAAATGTTTTTTTAGCTTTGAAAAGCTTTTTTGTCCCATAATTATAATTGGTCATGCATGTTAAAGTATTGGTAATTTTCATCTACCAGGCCGCACTCTCGGGCTTGATCTGGATGCAGAAAGGCAGCAAAATCCTGAAGCAGTTCAGGCCAGTCCTCCAGAATAGGCTTGAGTCTCATCAGCAGCTGGAGTGACGTGTGACTTTCTGGATTTTTCACGAAATCAGACAGAATGCACAAAAACTCATCCACCTTGCCTGGCACCTGATGCAGCACCTCATACACCTAGACGAAGAGAAAGTTCTGAATAAAGTGAACATTAATATTGAAATACAGATATGAATATTATATTATTAAACTTCTTGCCTTCTCCAGGTATGCTTGGGCAAAGGCAATATCTTTAGCATCCCTGTAGGGATCGTGGTCAGATGCATCATTGTGAAGGACTGTCTTTCTTTCAGTCTGAGTCCAGTAGGAACCTGTGAATGTCACATTATTTAGTTTAGATGTATATGCTCACTGCTTATTAATAAACAGTTTTGTATATGTGCCTGCTTAACTGCTACAAACGTTTTTCAGCTACAGAATTCATAATGACTGAACTGACCTGAAGGTTGATGCTTTGATTTAATATTTGAACGTCCTTCCTTTTCAGATACTGTCTTTGTAGCCAGATGTAAGAATTTCTCCATGGTTTCCTGGTGGTTTACAATGACAAGGTTAATCAAATTTATTAAATGGAAACATATCGTAAACACAACAATGCATAAATGAGGACTCCACATTCATAAAATGGTAAAATCTTCTGAGAACTGTTCACATTTTACAACAAAAGTATAACCAAACAAACACATTATTTTGTATAAAAGGGCCCATTTTTAGTACATATTTTCATGTAAATTAGGATTATCTATAAAAACAAAAATAAACAAAATGTGACTTTACATTTTTTTTAATCACTGATCAGGTATAATAATAATAAAGAATATGTTAATACAATTGGCTGGGGGGTGGGGGTCTGGTTGATGTCACATGATTTGCGACAAAATCGGGAAAATGATTTGATTCTCTCCACATGTAGCGAAACCATAGAGCAAATAAGACAGCAAATGGGATAAAGCAAGTTTGCATACTCCTGGTTGGAGAAAGACGATTTTAAACAGTGGCTGACGCCTGTTGCTGAAAACAATCACGTAATTTATTCTATTAAGCTTTGCTTCTTCCAAGCTTATTGAAGTTCTGTTGCACAGTTGTGCCCCATTCATTTATTTAACTACAACTGTTTATTAACAACTGTTTATTAACAACTGTTTATTAAGTTTTTGTTAGTGCAGACTAGTTCAGTAAAAAGAAAGAAAGAAGAAATGCCTGCATGCGTTTAGCGTTTATTCTTATCGCAAACAAAACAGTAATCTGGTAGTATTTGTGCTGCTTTGGCTTTTTTGGGGGTTAATTATTGTGATATCCTGATCGTAACAGAGAAATACTGGGCAATCTCTGTAAACTGATGACATTTCATGTCGTTCAGCCTTATAATCTTTAAATGTCAGCAAAATCACCTGTTTTGTCATTACTTTAGATATCACACTAGAGAATCATTCAACTACTAACTCTAAAGTGACGTTTGTGAATTCGTAATGGTTTCTGCTGTGGCGGAAGAAAGTAGTTCCTCATACAAATGGGTTTTTAGACGTGTTTGATTTTCTTTTTTATATACACAATTCTGCCAGTGAACTGTTGTATAAACGTAATATTACACTGATAGCAGTTCAATATGACTGTATATTGTCACTGGTGAAACACTAAGGCACACACGCCTACCCACCAGTGCTGATATACAACCATACCGCAACGCTACTCATGTGATATTGCTCATATACTTTGGTATTCAGTATTAACCCTTAATACCATGCTCAAAAAAAAAAAAAAAAAAAAAACAGGAGAGTTGCTGGGTGTTTTTACAAGGCTTTTGAACTTAGTCCAAAAAATATATACTGTAATCAATGTCTATGTAGGTCCCAAGTATGGTTCTTCACCTAATAAAGGGTTAAAAGTACAGTAATTACGCATATAATCTTACCTGGAGTTCTGGTACCAACCGGACACCGGAAACATTATCAGCTCCACCTGTTTCCTCATCCCCAAACAGCCTGTTACAGCCTTCCTGCTCTTTTTCTTTCTGTTCCTCTGGTTTCTCCATCTCCATCTCAGCATCTTCCCCATCTATACTAGGCATCGGGCTCCCAGAGGATTCAGAAAGTGTGAGAGACATCTCTATGGAGTCGATCTTACCACGTTCTTCCTCCTCATTCTCAACTATTCCTCCATCATCATCATCATCATCATCATTTAACTCTGCTTCTGCCGTTTCTTCAAAGCCATCATTAGGAGTCTCCTGAATGAAGGACATCTGTGATTGATCTCCTTTTAGTCGATCAGCGCTGTGCAAACTGTCTTGCGATGTCTGTTGCCTCATGAGTTTCACATGTTTGCATTTCAGAGCTGATGACTGTTTTAAGGTTTGTTCTTGACCAGCTCTCTGATGGCCAAAACTGCTGTTTGCAAACACATTTCCTGAAGGGAGAAGAACAAATCGATTTACAGGTTTTGGACAGACTTGCGCTAGACCACCAGAGACCTTTGGTAGAAGTTTAGGCAGAGTGCCACAGCGCTGACTAATGTGATTTTGAGGCATCTGGACATTTGTGTTTATGATGGGAGTGGGACATATAAAGGTGTTGGCGACTTGAGGCGGCTGAAAACTAATGATGAGGTTTGAAGCTCTTGGGACGGCTGGTTCAACAACATTAGAGGTGACTATTTGTGTTTGATTCACAGTTATATGCCCAGAAGGATAAGACTTGAGCTCTGGTGTCACAGCAGCAGGTAAGGTGATGATTATGTCCCTCTGGGCTGCAGAGCAAGAGATGCCCATTGGTGTTTCTACAGCATTTTTTACAGGAGCAGACGTTGAAGAGCTTGGTTTAAAAGTGGTTGAAATATTTGGTGAAGTGGCAATCGCTCTAGCTTGTTTCGATCCCACTGGAGGAACTCTGGACAGTATGAATGGGCCAGTGATAGCTCTATTTCCAGGCAAGCATGGATTTGGTTGAGGTCTGGAAAGCGACAGGGTTTTTGGTAAAATGGCTGGTAACTGGTTAAGAACCAACTCCAGCTTTTCAGCAGATGGGGGAGGTTTTAAAGGCTTAGCAGATTTATCAGTTTTGTCTTTTTTCTTTTTGAAGGCACTCAGAGCTGAAGCTTCAAGGGTCTGAGCAAGGTCTTCAGGGAGACTGAGAGGGTAACGCATGCCTGGAGGAAAGCAAAAGTGTGGTCCTGGACCTGCAGGATCAGTGGCTTCGGTGGTCTGGGGGTTTCCAGATGCCTGGTTATATGTTCTTACATGCTTATAAATGCACTTAAGGTTTTTCTAGAGTAGAGAATAGATACATGTTAGAGATTCTAAAAAAATTGTATGCTATTATAGTTAACCCTCTGGGTCTCCAGAAATCAGAATCACACTTGTAACCCATTTTGGTCAAAAGTGAAAGAAGACGCAACATAATTTTCAGGAAAATATTCCACATTTTTTGTTTAATAATATTTTTTCTTTTCAATTATGCATTTTGAGAAGATTTGTTAAAAAATACAGTTATTCATATTAAAATTTTCACAATTAAAAACAATTGGATTTTAAAATGTTGTATTATTAGAATTGTTTATTAGTGCCGTATTTCTAATTAAAATAATTAGAGACAGATTAGCACCATGTGGTAAAAAAAGAAAAACCCGTCTAATGTCATGGTGTAATGACCAACTAGATGCCTGTAAAACAGCTTGTGAATTCCAAGAGGTTTTTCGACATAATTAACTTTTTCTTTTAAGTTTAGAGATTTGTTTGTGTGTTTTATTTCAGTCTTTATGTTTTAGACTGTCACAAGTTATTTGATTTTTCATATTTTCAAAACTTTGCTCTGTATTGGGGATGCAGCTTTATATGTGTGGATAAGTGTGTGTCTGTGTAAAAATTGTAAGAATTATTTTTATTTTTTAAGATTTCTCATTCATTTCCTATGGTCGGTCAGTTTTGACAGATTTTTAAAGTTTTTTTTATGCCCACTTTGTGACTTTGTTTTTGCAATGTATACATGAGAAAAAAGCAAGATTCAAATAGGCACAGTTTCACACAATTCTGACAAAAAAAGACAGAGGAGACCCAGTGGGTTAAATGAAAAACCTATAATAAAATTAGAAGAGTTATTACTGAGAGCCAATCAGGCATGAGACTCTGTTCTCTTTCTACTGGGGGGCGTTGGTCACAGGGACTGACCCTCTTACTGGCCAAGGGCATGGAGGGGCATTTTCCTGCCATGAAGTACGTCTGAAAAATGTAGGAGAAATTATTTAACAGTATGTTGTGTTTATCACAGATTTTGAGGTACAAATTGAAACAATAGTACAGTGATAAAGGTTGCAATGTCAAGCAAAGGTAAATTACTATTATACTGTGGCAGAGTTTAAAAGTTTAGTTACTATAATGTGAAAAGTATTTCAAGTACTTCATCATGTCAGCCATCCAGACAAGAGGAAGCACTAGCTTAAGGCATGGTAAGATTAAAGTATCTAAACATCCCTTTAATGAATCATAATCAGTTTATAATATTTTTTTTTGAGACTGAAACTGTCAAAAGATTCAAATTTTTAAGCTTATTAATTATATGTATTGTTTAAATTACAATTAATCATACATGTCTTAATTGATAAGAAGGTGAAAAATACTCTAAATAACAAACTGCTAATAGATGGCAATACATTTCGAATGAGTGAGTCAATGAGTCACTTATTCATTTTATTTTATTCATTAAGAAATTAAATAAATGCCACAATCAATGAGTAATTGAATCATTGGTTTACTCTTTTTGTTCAAAACATGGATTCCATCAGATAGGAATCACTGCTGTGGGTTGATCAGAAACACAGTACTGCTGTTGCTTTATATTTTCATTGACAATAATGACAGACAATAATGTCTCAAAATTATAGAACTATAATTAATCGTTTACTGAACTGTTGTATAGAATCAATATCACATTTGCATGTGTGCTGCAGCACTAAGTTTACCTTATTCTCTAAAGAATGCCATCATTCCCTAAGGATAATGCTAGCCATAAATTGTATTCATTGACTCACCTTGATGACACTAGGAAAAGGCTTCTGACATGCATCACGAATGTGTGATTTTACACTGATAAAACTCCTTGTAGCAAGCAAATAACGACAAGTCATCTGCAGGGGGTGTAGGGTACCTCTTAAGTGCTTATGACCTAGAACAACAAGACTGAAGAGCGAGAGAAACACAATAAACATTTAAGTGTTGGTGTCTTCTAAGAATGTATAATGGTCGAGGTTGAACCATAAGTCTAGTACCAGTCTTCTGCTGAGGTGAACGGCCCTTTGAATTTAGACGGACGCAGCTGGATTGTAGGAAGTAGCTCTGGGTAAAGAAACACAGAGCGAGTTGCCATCAACCAGGCCAGTGAAGCAGGAAACTGACATCCTACAAGAACAAAAAGACCAGACAGATTACAGTACAATCGGAAAATACAATACACTTTTTTGTGAAAGTCCCAGTCACCGTTTCATAGTGTTGGATGATTGAGTTATAGTTTTTAATACTGATTGATAATTACCACACTAAATATAAAATCAGTATGTATTTCAAGTTTAAATGCATATTTTTGGTCTCGAGGGAAATGGTGAAGCCATTTTAAAAGCCAATTTTCTAATCACTTATTCACAAAAGGTTCCAAAGCTTTTTTCTAGTGGTGTAATGGATCACAAATCTCACATTTTGGATGACATTGGGCTCTATTTTGACGGTCCATGCGCAAAGCGCAGGGCGCAAACGCTTTCAGGGCGTGTTAGGATGCGTTTTTGCTAACTTAAGGACGGGAAATCTGCCTTGCGCTTCGGCGCATGGTCTAAAAGGGTTGAGTTTATTTTCTTAATGAGTTATAGGTGTGTTTTAAGAATAAACCAATTAGAGTCTCATCTCCCATTCCCTTTAAGAGTCAGCTGTGTAGCGCCAAGAGCACATTCGCTATTTACAGGACGCAAAGTAAGTCTAAGTGGAAAAAATGAGCAGTTCACAAGCAAACAGTTAACAGTTAACAGTTTTTTAACAGAAAACTGTTAAACAGAGCATCTACTGCGTGAGAATGAGAGATAAATGACTTCGCTCTTGGATAGGGAAATCTTTACGCACAGACATCAATTAGTCTATAAATAATTACTTTTGTTTGTTAAGCGCAAACATTCGTTTCAAAACTATTTCTAAATTCAGTTCTAATTTCCATCAAACGAATAAATGAATAATAATAGCAAAATGTGCTCTAAAACACATTTATATGAGTTATATCCTAAAACACAGTTATATCCTGAGTTATATCCTAAAACACATGCTTTACCCCATATGGTCTAAAACCTGACAGGTGGGCAAATCTAAGCTTGTTTTTAATAAAACAAATATAAATATGGATATAATAAATAATACTGCTAATAATAATAACATAATACAAAATCAAATTGTTATGAATGAGCTGAAAAAGCCTCCCGAGATGAAGAAGACATAAAAGCAGTGGTTTTTCATATTTATATAGGCTAGAAAATAATGTTTTGTAATATTTTAATCCTTTATATTTATATTCTATATCTATTCTTATTATATCCTATATATATCCTTAATATTTACATTTTTTCATATGTAAAGATATTCGCCTATTGCTCTCTTGTGCGTATTAAGCAGTGCGTAAGCGAGGCGCAACTCTGCGCCGGAGTTTAGACCGGGTTAGTTTTGGTCTAATGAAAAATCTATTATAGTTTCTCAAAATAGCAACGCGCCAGCGGTCCGCCTCCGAACGGCTTCCTTTTTAGACCAGAATGCCTATGGGCGCAAAAATGAGCACTAATACATTTGCTATTTAAACAGCGCCTCAAAACGACTCTTGCGCCAAGCTTAAACTACCAAAAGACTACTGCGTCACGCCTTGCGCCACACTGCGCCGGGTGTATGATAGGGCCCATGATATGTTTTTTTAGTCACAGATAGGAGCATTTTTCAAAAAGAGAAGGAGACAAATGTAATTTGCTTTCTATTTATTACAAAAACTGCACTGCAAGAAACTTTTGGTTTTAACAAACAGAACCTGTAATTTTATTCAAAATAAAAATGAATAAATAATCAGCTGAAAATTATTATTATTATTTTTTTAAATATTTAGTATTACGAAAAATGCACTGTTACTAGTAGTGTTGCTAATAATATTTAATTTATAAATCTAACATTAAAAATAAATATGGGGTGTACAAATTATAGTCTCATTTTCAATAAATTATTTAGTTATTCATTTATAAAACTCCATGTTTCATTGCTAGATGTATATAAGTTGAAGAATTATTTCTGATGGCTGGTTGTTGCCACCTATATGTTAAATAATGTAATTGTTGCTCACAACTTAAATTTTTGAGCGTCAAGTTAAATGCATATAACAGTTTTTCTATTCTTTACCATAAACATCAGTGGTTAAATCTAAACTATAAACTGTTATCAAAGTACTTCTGTGTTATTTGACTGTTTGTAAACTAAAGACTGAAACTCTTGATTTTTGCGTTTTTCAAACACAGATTTGAATGCAGCGATTCGAAGGATTAATAAACATATGCAAATTATCATCATTTATAATTTATGTTGCGTGGCCATTGAGATCCAGATCTTTTAATGATTAATCATGCAGCTTACACTGAATGCAATAATGCAGGGTAAACAAGTAGTGACAGAAAACACATTTAGAAACCCACCACATTCCGAATAACCTACCACAACTTCTTCCGCAATCATTATATTTTACAGGAAAGCCTAAATGCTTTCACACATGTGATTTGAACAATGCAAGAGGCGATCTCTCTGTAATAGTTACAAATTTAGTAAAGTAAAAAAAAAAAACATTGATAAATCCGTGTGTCACGTGTGTTCCGAACCGATCCAATACACCCCTACTTTTTTCTTTTTTTTTTGTTTAACAAAAAAGAAGCCACCTGGTAGAACATTGGAAACCTGTAACCCCTGATATTTAAAGCAAAAAAACAAAAAAACAATGTAAGTAAATGGCTACCAGTTTCCAACATTCTTTAGAAAATCCAAAAGAGACTCAAGAGGAGGTTAAGTACATGATGACAGAATATTTCTTTTTGGTTTAACTAGCCCTTTAAACTTCTCTTCATTGTCACAACACAAAAGCAGGTGAATAAAGCCTTACTACAATATGAAATAAAAATACATATTCATGACAGGTTTATAAACAAAGACTACTTTTATCTAATGAGTTTAATGGAAATTAATTGCTTTCTGGGGTAAACGTAACATTCTGTGACAAGGTTTCTTTTTAGTCAGTGGTATTGTTTCTTTCACAGGGCTCGAAATTAACCTTTCTGCTTGGTAGCACCGGTGCTCCTAACTTTAAAAATTTAGGCGCATCAGCCAAAATTTAGGCGCACCCACCAATTATGAGCACCGTTACTACAAGTTTTATACAAACATATTTATTGTATTTGAAATCAACACTAATCAAACTAACAAGCAAAAAAAAATATATATATATAAAAAAAAAAAATATATATATATATATATATATATATATATATATATATATATATATATATATATATATATATAAATGCAAGCGTGAGGAAAATATGTCTCAACGAAATCCCGTTATTGCAAGAAAATAGATTTTTATAACAGAACTGAGTGAGCAAAAGATACAAGGAGCGCTCACCGGCCCTGCACACACTTAAATGAATCTGTTAACGGTATAACTGTGCTGTTCTCACAAGTGCTGTCTGATATTGCACTAATGCTTTTGACACATATTGTAGCTTATTATATGCATACATGTTAATAGCAATACCGGTTTATTTTTATGAGTAGCGTTATTAGTTTACTCAATGCAAGCCCGTTCGCGATGGTGTACGTGGTGTTCAATTTGACATATAGCTGCCCCTTGCATGGCAGACAGCATCTGGCGATTATATGAAGGATTAAACAGAAGCTCTCGTGCTAGATGTGGCAAACAGTTACCTAAACACCATCCCACAGACTTTTTATAGCGGACTTGAAGCCAATGGAAGTCTTCTAACGTTACTCTTGGAAAAGTGTAGATAGTGGATTAACATTTAGCACATGATCACTACTAAGATGTTTCAGTATTTATAACTTTAGATGCCATGGTTTCTAAAACAAAATCTGTCAGTGTTATCTTCATTCTCCTCTTCAGCGCTTTACAATTTTTCGCGGTAGCAGCTCTCTCTCTGTCATCCCAAGCCAGAAGCGATGACTGAGTGATTGACAGCTGATATTAAACAATCATTCGCGTTCAGTGCTAGAGCAGTGGGCCAATAAGAAGAGCGTGAAGGCGGGGCACGCATAACGGACTTGGATTTGTTTACTGCAGCAAGTTGACATGACAACTGTTTTAAACCATTCCCGAGCGCTGCGTTTCGCGTTGCAAGTGCAGAGATGCATTCTGCGTGAATGTCTCCCGAATCCGTGCATGTGGTGATAATTTTACAGTAAAAACTGGTCGCACATAACAATTTTAAGCACTCGCAGAAATGCTCCCAAATAAATTTTAAGGTCGCATAGATAAAATTTCGGGCGCATTTGCGACCAAAATGGTCGCAATTTCGAGCCCTGTTTCATCATACAATCTGATGTTTTATTCTTGCAACTTTTATAACAAAAATGAACATCACAAAGTATGATCTGTAATAACACATTTACTTTTTGATATTTCTGTATTTATTTTTAATTATTTAAGCTTTTCAATACTATTCTGAATGGGGAAATTCCCAAATTTGCATAGTGTATGAACCTTGCATTTGTTTAATTTTTGAGGCAATAATAGTTATAATTTCATTGCCCCTTCCGACGACTGCAAAAATACATGCAGTATAAGCAACACTTTAACTTCAGGCTTTCATACACTGATGGGAACATCCAAGAGTATACAATTACCAGGTAAACATGGACTCAAGACTGCAGGATCTCCTTTGAGTGACTGATCTAGTTCCTCCAGCAGAGAAACAGCACCCTGTAGGTTGCAGGCATTGAAGATGCTGGTGAAGAAGCCATGCTCTGCACGTCCGCAGTTGTGTTCTCCACGCTGACCAAACATCTGCAGCTCCAACTAGGAGAGGATGATGAAAAACAGAGAACATTTTAAATCATATTAACCTATATCTACATACATTCTAGCTTGTCTTTTGTAGATAGGGTGCATGTCTCACCAAAAACTGTCTGCTTGTTGAAGCCTCGGTTTCCAGACCCTTGACTGTACTGCTCAACATGTTCACCTGCGTGAGGAGCTGCACATGCTGAAGGATATACAGAACAGCCATTGAAAAAAAACATCAATTATATGTTTTACAATAATGTCTTCTAAGGTCCGGTTTTTATCTGGCAATCACACATATTTTCAGGCGATTTGGATTACTGTTTCCAGCAGGTATTACACATTCAAATCTTGTGACCACTTGATGGGAATGGGAATATGTTAAGACTATTTCTCCAGAGTCTATATTATTTCTGCAGGGCACTCAGTGTAAGGCACAAACACTTTTGAATGAACTCGTGTTACACAGCCTACAAAAGAGAGGAAAAGCAAATTAATGAAAATAATGATTTCAATTACAATTTTGATCACTGATGCTTTATCTGTCACCTTTTGGTCAGGTCGTTTTGACCTAAAAATAATATGTAAACTAAAAAAATATTGTGAAAAAGGCACAGTTTTTTTTCTTTTTTTTTTTTAAACATAAACATTGTTAGAAAACCAGATAACGGCAAAAAATCTAAATAATATTTTATGTAAATTTTTAACTACTGTTGTATACAGTGACGTGTTTTTTATTATTAATTAATAAAATAAATAAATATATATGTCAAGTATGAAATTATTTGTATCCCTGGCAATTTATTCAACGTTTATATTACATTTTTTTTTGTCAGACAAATGTCAGACATTGCTGTACTAAATGTCTAAAAGCACAAAGGCTAACTTAACTTACAAATTCAAGTTTTGAAACTTGCATGTTTATAAATTTATTAGTTTTTTTTTGTTCTCTATGGAATCTCTAACTCTATAGGCCTTTCTACTGACAGAATGCAAGTATAAAAGCAAGTTTTTGTGAGTTTTTTTCCCACAAGCAGTTTTTTTTCTATCAGACACTCAACCGAGCCGTTTAATTAATTTTTTATTGTATGTCTACAGTAAAAAACAAAAATTCAACCTAAATTAGCTTATTTTCAAAAAATGAATTTGTTAATTGCACTTTAAATTGAAAGACCTTAATAAAAGACATTTACTCTGTATAACATTTGGTTCTATTACACAGCTTCCTGTGTTAGCAAATGCTCACTGTATGATATTTATTTATTTTTTATTTTATTGTTTTAGTTCATGCTCTTTGGTCTTGTACAAAAATTCAGGATTTCTGGAAAAGAGTTCATGAACACATTTGCTTGGTTTTAGACTTCCATATTTCACTATGTCCTGGACTGTTTATACTAAGTGGTTGGACAGACAACAAAATAAAAGATAAAAAGATCAAATCCTGGGTCCAAACCAGTTTACTGATTGGCAGACAGATAATTCTTAAAAGCTGGAAATCAGAAGATACCCCTTCCCTTTAAGAATGGGCAGCAGAACTTACGTTAGCGGCCACATTTAAAAAAAAAAATGTTTTATAAGCAAATGGACAAGCTAAACCTATAGTATAAAAATGGTCCAAGTACTTAACCTGTTAGGAAATGGAACAGTAATAAATGTGTGAGAATTATACTGATTGTGACAGTGTAAATGTGATATGTTATTAACTGAACTTACCTATGCATTTTTTATTGTATTTTAATTTTACTTTTCTCTTCATTATATGAAGATGGAGTATTTAATGATAGCAAAGCCGGGACCTTAAAGTCTTAGTTAGGGATTAGTTTGGGTTGAGATTTTAATAAGGTAAAATGCTTATTCTTTACAGAGTTGTATTCTGTATTCTACTCTGAATTAATAAAATTGTTAATCACTAAATTGCCTAAATGAAAGCTCGACTCTTTCCAGACCTGCTGGATCTGCTGCTGTAGCTGTAGTCTCTGAGCTGCATTCAGGGTCATGGATGTTATGGGGCTGGAGGACCGCTGAGGGCAGGCTGGAGGTACAGACACTCCTTTACTCTCCAGCAGAGCTTTCCGTTTCCTCACAGCTGCCAGCTGCTCACGCACGGTCCGATAACGCTGCTTCAACACATCAGCTAATGGGTCCTCATATCTAAACACAGAAAACATCTCACCTGTAAATTCACTCCAATAACATAAGTTGATCATGCAGAAAATAATGTTAGGATGAACATACTGAATGTTCTCCAGAATGCCAGGCGGCTCCTGCAGGGGACTTTCCTCTTCCTCTTTTTCCTCCTCTTCTTCATGTCCTTCGTCGTCTTGACCTCCTAATTCATCCTGAAACTATAGGTGATGGAGATCAGGTTCAGCATTGAGAAAGAAACATACATGTGTAATGTAAGTAGGCCCTTTCGACTAGGTTTGTCACTTTTTGAAATGAATTAATCATAAGACTGTGTCAATTTGATCTAAATCACAATTATTTAAGATAACCATAATAACGGAGCAGTAATTGTGTTACATTTAAAACAAATAAGAATTATGTGCATAAGGATAAAAAAGGCCTCTTTTTACTGTTAACATTCATGTCATGTCATGTCAAAGATTCCTAGTGCTCGATATTGTGGAGAGATTTTCTGTGAAGACTGAACGAAGAGAAAATGGCTATAGAGAAAGGGAATGTGTAGTTACAGTGAAAAGCATTCTGGGTATTTAAGACAAGGGAACCTGGATCTTACTGATTTCTATTGATGTATTGAATCAAATATACACTAGTCAGTCAGTAATAACAGAGTATATACAGGAGTCAGAGACTGAAATTCAATGCCTTTTAAGACCTTTTTTAAGACTTTGCATACATTTTAACAACTCATCACCACTTTAGGTTTCAACCAGTAACATTGTCAACATTTTAACTTGCAGTATTCATTGTTAAATACTGATTGCAAAAAATGAATCCTAATCTAAAACTCTATTAAACTACACAGCATCCCAATATTCAAAGATTAAATTCAGGTTAATTTTAGCACACCGATTCAGAATTGAATACCTTGTAAAATAGCATTTAAGACCTTTTAATACTTTTTAAGGGCCTTACATTTCTCTAAATTGATTTATTAATTTTTGTAATAACTTTTAAGACTCTGCAGACACCCTGAATAAACTGTAAGTGCTCATACTGCAAATAAAGAAGAAAGTTATATACTGTATGGAAAAGTTTTCCTGTGGCAGCTTGTTGATACCCTGTTACTTGCAGATAAGCTTTTTAATAATTTGATTTAATTTGGCTTAGGATTCGATCTCTCTGTGTATGTGCTAGGCTTCTCTAGTTTCAATTCACTGTTGGAGACATTATTCTTTATATAATTTCAACTTCGCAGACACATATAAATCCATCTTATTCTGAGTGTTTGTAAAATGTACTTCAAAAGATATTACTATAAAACAATCTTCTTTATTTTTCCCTTTTTATTATTTTTTAATTAGTTTTTTTCTGTATAGTAATTGTTTAAGGTTCCCTGTTTGGGCTTTTAATAACTTTTCTTCATTGTCGTAGACCTCTTTTAGCATAGTTTTGAATACCTATTTCTATTTGTGTATTACAATTCTTTTATTAATTTATTTTTAACTGGCTTAATTTGAAAATTTCTTAACCTTAAATAAAGATTTGATAATTGTCTTTTTGGTTTGGAAATTTGTTTTATGTATTTGTATGTGTATGTGTATACGTATATTATTATTTTTTGTTATTATTTTTATTTGTTTTAGTATGTCTTTGTTATTTATTCTTTAGTTTTTTCCTTTTTATTGTCACTATTGTTGTTGTTGGCATTATTATTAATATTATTATTCAACAACCTGTATATTGGGTATTACTTGGGCCAAACGGAATCTGCGGACGTTTTTTTGCTATTTCTGCAGAGAATTTTGGTAAAAATCTGCGGATTTCTGCTGAATTATTTTGGTAGCATCATAACTAAAACCTTAATATATGTAATAAAAAATAATGTCGTTTTAACTTTTATTTAATGTTTAAAATGCAAATCCAAGTAGATTCACTTTATTTAGTAAACAAAGCAAGTCTCTCATCCACTAAAAGACAGAGAAAATATTACTGTACAAACTGCATTGTACATAAATCAGATGATCATTTTCACATTAGTCAATAATAATAATACATTTATTTATCACATAATAATAGTACTGTAATTCATTTAAAAATTGAATAAATATAGATTTAAACACATTTGCTCAAGTAAATAAACAGAATTAATGATGGGCTAAAAATCTGTGGAATTCTGCAGAAAATCTGCAAAATTCTGCACGCGCAGATTCCGTGTGGGCCTAGTTATTACATGTATAACTATGCACACTGCTATATGCTGATCATCTACGGCATGCTTTTCTGTGTCCGAATAATACAAAATAAAAGAAAAATTTGATGGAAAAAAACGATATTTTTTCTTTGGTAATTTGCATTAGTGTATATCATACACTCCTTTGTGCGTCTACAAACATGACTAAACACAACTCGCCATGACATAGATTTCCATTCTCTATTATCAAGTACAAGAACAGTCAAAGGTCTTTCTTTAAACATATTATATTATATTATATTATATTATATATAAAAACAAAGAAAAAAAAACAAGTAAATCAAAGCATTTACTACTTTTTAATTCATCTAAATTGTCCCATCTTGTGACATTCTGCTTTAAAATGCATTTTTTTAAGCCTGGATCCCTCAAATTAAGTCGATTTATTTCATATTTCAGAAATCATTATTAACTAGATTGTTTTAACAACTCTATGAATAAAATTATAAATAAATAATAATAAAAAAAATCTTACCGCATCAAAGAGTTCCTCCATCAAGTCATTGACTTCCTTTTCTGAATAACAAAGAAAAGAAGGAGATTAATATCAAAACTATCAAGATGACCGGCCTTTTTAATTCTCTTTAATGAACTCACTGGTGATGCGCACTGCCTTGTCATTCCTGTAGTCCTCCACATCAGGCTCATCAATGTCAGCCAGAAAATTGTACTCGGGGTCGTCTTCATCATCACCCTCCTCTGACAAGCGAATAAGATCGTTTTTGAGCACATTTGAGCACATGTACGTTCAGTATTTTGGTCTGTCCATACCTACCATCATTGTCCATATCTGAGATCATAAGGCCCTGCAGCCACTGTGTCCATTCTCTGTCCTCAGGGGCGGAGCCAAACTCATACATGTCAGGAGTGATGTCAGGAGCCCGTAGCTCCGCCTCCAGGCGACCCAGAGGGACGTCTCTCAGTGGACGCTTTGATCGCGTGCGGAAGGAAATCAAACTCTCTTCTCCACTTGCACCACCGAGACTCTAATGCCAAAAAGAGATTTACAAACTGAGTAATAGTTTATCACATCTACTACATGATATATTAAGGACTGACAATAAAGATACTTCGTTTGTTTATGTTACATAGAATGGTACCAGTAATTTTGAGACAATAAGATTAGGTTTAAAAACAATGATACATTTTTAGCAAGAATGTTGAGACAGTATAGCTTGGATGACGTTTTAAATAAATGATTCTTTTATTCAAGTTATTCTGAAGCAGAATCCTACAAATATGTTGAAAATAATTTATATAGCAGTAATGAAGTTAAAAAGATGCCGAATGAAGAGTTAAGTGTGGTATAAATAAATCATAAATACAAGTAATTTGATTTAATAATTTATCATTCTTGATCAATAGGTGGTGACATACAGTTGAAGTCAGAATTATTAGCCCCTCTTTGATTTTTTTTCTCTTTTTTTAAATATTTCCCAAATGATGTTTAACAGAGCAAGGAAATTTACAAAGCATGTCTGATAATATTTTTTATTCTGTGGAAGTCTTATTTGTTTTATTTAGACTAAAATAAATGCAGTTTTTTAATGTTTTAAACACCATTTTAAGGATAAATTTATTATCCCCTTTAGGCTAATTTTGTATCGTAAGTCTACAGAACAACCCATTGTTATACAATAACTTGTCTAATTACCCTAACCTGCCTAGTCAACCTAATTAACCTTGTTCAGCCTTTAAATGTCACTTTAAGCTGTATATAAGTGTCTTGAAAAATATCTAGTAAAATAATATTTACTGTCATCATGGCAAAGATAAAACAAATCAGTTATGAGTTGAGTTATTAAGAGATGAGTTATTAAAACTATTATGTTTAGAAATGTGATGAAAAAAATAATGTCTCCGCTAAACAGAAAACAGGGGAAAAAATAAAGAGGGGGCTAATAATTCTGACTTCAACTGTATAGACTATATGCAAAGAAATGACATGGTTTGGTGTAAATATATTTAAACTTAAGATGCAGAGATACAACCCCAAGTGTAGTTTGTTTTGCTGGCATGGACAAAACATTATCTGGATCTAATTTGATTAAAATAACAACAAAAGTCTATGATATATTTAAAAAAAAAATCAAAACGGGAGAGAAAGCTTGGCCAATTATAGCATACCTAGTATCAATGTGCTTTGCAAAACTCCTGCAATCTATCAAGACTTAACTTAGAAGTAAGGACAATAATAAAAAAGGGACCTTTAAAATTAGGAATAATATTTTAAAACACAACAACCTCAAAATCTTGAGTTTAGTAATAATACATCAATGCTAACACAGTATATTGCTCTAAATTTAATTAAACTACTTTAATTCCATGGCTTCATGTCAAGATTGTGTGAGGGTTGCAGGTTCAAATCACAATAACCAGCTCTCTCACCATCCTTGAAATGAGTCTGCCTCAACCCAACTTCCACCCTAAATGGTGTGTTGATGCTCATTTCCCAAAAGGGCTGAGTTATGAGAGAAAATAGAAGTCAACAGTTTCTTGTCTCTGCGTTGTTTTAGGTGACTACATCTCAACCCAAATGTTGACAATTGTAGAATGGGGATGGGTGAGTTGGACAGAGAACCAATTCATTAATGGTGTTGAAACTGCATTAACATAGGGAGATGGAGAGAACAGCTGGGTCAGCAGCCAAGGAGCTACTTCATTTACATTTAAAGGCAAGTTTAAGGCAACATCTAAAACAGTATAAAAGGTTTAAGCATGCTCGGGGTTCATTCTTACTCCGGTGAACCAAAGGTACTACCGTGTGAAAAAACTGCTGAATAAATATTATCATTGAGATTTCCACGTCGTCCTCATTTTTTCTTACACTTAATACTACAGCAGAGGTGAGTTCCTTGAACAAGGTACCGCCAACGGCTTCCCACTGCTCTAAATGTATGTTCTCTGCTGTGTGAGTGCACAATAGAAAAGATGCAGGGTACGGGGTTTTACATACTTGACCACATCCCGACTATCACTTTTTTGATCGATTTTTAAGATCAATGTTCAGGAAAATGATAAAATTCAAGATTGCGGAATAGCAAGAAAAACAAAATTACAATACAATACAAAAAGAACAATGGTTTGATAATGTGTTTGTAATGATATCTGTGTGACTTAATGTGCAAAGAATTATGGGTTCTATTGATCATTCTTTAGTTTAGCTATCATATTAATGAACTTTAATGAGCTGTACCTGATATGAGTCCATGCAGTCAGTTCCAAAGGCCAGCTCTTCATCCACAGCATGGAGTTTCTCTAAGAAACTGCACTCTGGTGGAGCCCTGGAGGTGTCCGGTGGCGGCGGGGGCCCCATTGGTGTGGCAGCCACTGTCAGGTGTCTGGATCGGCAAAGGTTCTGTAAATATTGATAAAATATGGCTTTTACTACAGTACTGCTTCAGCAGCTTTTTGTTAGATGGTTACTTTTTTATGCCAGTCAACGTTTTAGAAAATACACAGAAAAACATTTTATAATTTCTTGATGGTAATAAGTAGTTCTAACATTTCTTTAGTAATGACGAGAGAGAAAAAAACAGGAAAAAAATGAATAAAGAGAAAAATAGTGCAGTTTGATCACGTGTGCTTTTCTTGTTTGATTGTTTTTATTATACATAATTATTATATTTATATGATTATATTTTATAATGACTGGAAATCTGGCTCAGCAAATCATAATCAATAAATGGAACAGCCAATTTTATAAAAGAAATTTAGAAAATATATATTTTTACAGTGATAATATGTTTTTTATTTCTTCTCATCTCATTAATAATAAGCAATGCATTTGTTTCACTGATTAAAACAACATAAACATTTAAGCTTTAAATCAACATATTAACATTAATTGTGAAAAGACACGGCATTAAAACTAGAGTAACAGTAGCTGAAAATTCTGATTTGCCATCACTGCAATACACTGAAATATATTAAAACAGAAAACAGTTGTTTTTGAATGTGTCGCATTATTTTACAATATAACAGACTTTAATTACACAGATATTTTTCATAAATATTTCAGACACAAAACCTATGAATGATAATGGACATCAACAGTACTTTCTAGCAATAGCATTTCCATCTGCAAAGGTCTTACCAGTCTGGATCTACTGGCTCCATCCTCAGATTCAGAGTGTGATCTTTGTACTCGACTCACCCGTGGAGAAGATGAGGAGTTTTCCAAGTCACTTTCCAGAAGAGTCTATAAAGCACACACACATAACAAACTCTATAAATCCAGAGAGCAGAAAGTATCAAATAAAAGAAAAGTTATTCTCTCCAACCTCCTCAGCTGTCTCATCCTCCTCCTCTTCATCAGGCCGATACTCTTCATCAGAAGAGTCCTCCTCTTCTAATGGAATATCCACAAACTGGGGCCCCTTCTGTAAGTGCACACACCATTATTTATTTACCTTTAATTCACAGCCTGCTCCCAGTCTCATGCATGTTTTCTTGCAAATGTACTCTGCTGATCACCTTTGCTTCTGTTGGCTTCTTAATTGGTGAAATATTCCAAGTGGGAATGACCTATAAAAGCAAACAAAAATACTCCATTGCGTTTATTAATTGCTAAAGCATTTTACAGGGAGACAACCCTCTTAATGCAATCAAACGGTATTATTTCAACATACTAAATCCATTTGGACCTGAAGATTTAAAAATATGCATACAAGTAAATAACAGCCATAACCTAAACATTTACATTATTAAAAAGTTTTCTACGTTATACGTAATGTAAGGCAGGTTTATTTATATAGCACATTTCATATACAGTAGTAATTCAAATTGCTTTACATAAACAAAAATTAAAAAGATATGAAATATATCTATAAAAAATAATAACAATAAAGAATAAAAATTATTTAAAATAGACTAAATTATAGTTTTAAAACAAGTTTTAAAAGAATGAAAAAAAAGAAAGACACAAACAGCTTTATTTTAACGATCTAGGCACAAAGTCTAAAGCGCATGGTGCAAAACTATTAAGGGCATGTCCGAATCCACTTCTTTTTCTATTTTAGAGATGGAAAATTCTGATTTGCGTGAAAGCACATGGTCTAACAGGGTTGTGCTTATTCTCTTAATAAGTTAAGTGTGTTTGAGCATAACATCTCATCTCCCATTCCCTTTAAGAGTCAGTTGCATCGCGCCATGATGTATTTGCTTTTTACATGGCGGATTTCATAAGTGGAAAAACTAAACGCTTCACTACTGAGAAAACAGTTAAACAGACCATCTGAAGCGCGAGGAGAAAGAATGAGCCTTCTCCATTTGGCCTCTTTACTTCCTCTTTACTTTACTCCTTTACTTTTGTAGATAAGGAAATGTTGTTGTACGCACTACATTGAAGACATCTACTAATCTACATATTAAATTTTGTTTGTTAAGTGCAAAGAATTGTTTCAAAATTCAGTTCTAATTTCCAGCAAACAAATAAATGAACAATAATAACAAAGTGTGGTCAAAAAAAATATCCAAACACACTTTCTATTTTTGTGCCCCTATTTGGTCCTAAACCTAACAGTCGGACAAATCTAACGCTAAACTTGTTTTTATTAAAACAAATATAAATATGCATATAATAAATAATAATAACAACATTATACAAAAGCAAACGGTCATGAATAAACTAAAAAAAGTGCCATCCAAGATACAGAAAGCATGAAGGCAGTGGTTTTTATATTTATGTAGAAAATAATATTTTTTGTAACAATTTAATCCTTTGATTTTTTGTGTGTGTATTAAGCAATGTGTAAGTGTTTGGATGCATAGACGCACAACTAATGCGTTCTGTACTGGAATTTAGACCTGCATTCAGTTGGTCAACAGCGAGGTCAAATTCAGTTCCAACATTGCGCCAACAATTAACACACCTTCTTTCTAGACTGGCACACCCATGAGTCCACAAAATGGCACAAATGGATTTGCTGGAAGTAAATAAATGGAGAAGTATACATATATGTTCAGTTCAGGATTTGCTATTTAAAAATGGCACAAAATGCAAAATGTGAAAATTAGGATTGCTCTTGTCTGAAAAAACCAACAAATTGCAAAAAAACACTGCATTTAGTATTTTTTAAATTAATTTATAATTGAGAAAACGGAAGTTTCAACTTGCACAGGTAACACACCAGTACTAAGATGCTATAGTTTTGTAATATATATATTTTATTTTTGTATCATATGTTTGTATATACATATATATATATATATATATATATATATATATATATATATATATATATATATGTATATATATATATGTATATATATGTATATATACATATATATACAGTTTTGTGTATATATATGTTTTGTAATATATATATTTTATTTTTGTATCATATGTTTGTATATACATATATATATATATATATATATATATATATATATATATATATATATATATATATATATATATATATGGTCAATTCCATGAAAATGTCAACCTTATCATGAAAAAATAAACTTTTGACCAAAATAACAAAACCTATTTAAATTTGCTCATTAAGGTCTATATTTTATTGTAATGATGTGCTCTTGTTGAATTTTTAAGGAAATTGGTTTGTTTATCCATGAAATATGAGGATTGTGCCAATGGTAAATTTCATTATAATCCAACCACATTTCGTGCTTTAGAAAAAGGGATTAAAGACGCACCTTTTCCATGCTTTATGTTAACAGTAATCATTCTGCAGAAGGATTGGAGTCTGTAGTATAAATAATTACCCTTACTTTTTCATAACATTACTGCCCTTTTGATTTATGAGCTACATATTTAAGACATCAGGCAGCTTCGGTCACATGTCACGTCCGTAACGATTTAATAAAAAAGTTTATATTGTGGAATAAATATTATAACAAATAAAATGAAACTTTGTATACAAAGCCAAAATATGTCCATACTAATTATGATCGCCAACTCATCTCAGGTCTTTGCTTTAAACAACTACAATTTTGCGTTACGGACGTGACCATTTTTGAACTCCTTATTAATATAAGCCAATGACTAGCGCATATTTGTTCATTATGATGCTGCATTACAATTACTGACTTACATTACATAACATCCATATGTTATATCAAGAACTGAACATTTCAGTTAGCTATAAACCATTTTAGTAACATTTAAAAAATAAATGTTTAATAAAGAGAACAACATTTTACATGCCATAATCTTGGCGCATAATCTTGGTGTTTTGGCGATGCAGCACCTTGTGTTGAAGCACTTCTTGTTTCTTTTGTAGATAGGGTAACTGACCGTCAAATAATAGATCAAATAGTTAAGATACAATTTATGCCAAACTAGGAATGCTGATTTCGATTCATGTTGCCAACCAACAACCGCTCGTTAAGCGATATTAACCGTTAACAGATTAATATCAAAATATTATTTAATAAAAAAAAATTGACGTGCCTATTTTGTCTGACACATTAAATATTGCATTTTAAAATACTGATTTAGGTTATTTTAACATGCAAACAGCATACAGAAGGAGCATCTTCACGCACCTGCAGTGTTTTTTTAGCAGCACAGAATAACTGAATAAACTAACAAAAATAATAAAATAAATCCTGCTCTAAACCTTTTTACTTAAATGACAAATTAAGATTACAAAACGAAAACATTGACTGAATGCTTTTTAAGAATCGGCATAGACTGTTTGTCCAATCGTGTTTTTTTTTCTTCCGTCAATAAAAAAATATTAGGCTAGATCAAATAGATTGCTTTACGGAAAAAATGCATTCAATTAATGCTCCGCTGTTATAATATTACAAAACCTGTCAACATTTTTAATAGAGGTCATTAGTTTAAAGATTATGTCTTAATTATGATTTATTAGCCTATTTCCTCTGTCTTACTTGCGGTTCATGTGCGCGGGCGCGCTGAGTATAGTGAAACATAATGACAATGAACCATAAGGCTTTGAACCTATACTTTTTGTTAAATATAGGCTAAGGATATAACAATTTTGTTATTTACATGTGATACTGTTTTAATTTGCATACATGTTTTATAAGCTGTAAAATGAAAGTTATCCTAAAATATTTGGCTTTGTTTGATTTGTAGATTAGGCTATGTAGGCTATTTAAAAATGTATATAAGAACTAATAATAACTGTTATTTTCCAATGGAAAAAAATTGGTTTGTTGGTTAGTCTGCACTAAATCATCAATATACCTAGTTGAGTTTATGACGCGGCTCCAGGCTGCACAGACGACCAGCATCAGCGCTGGTTCGTCAACTCCTGTGTCAACTCCTGTGTCAAACTGTGGCCAGAATATCCTACTTTCATTTAGCTTCTTTGGCAAAATACATCTGTAAGCACGTGTTTGCACGTGTTACTGTTCTGCGAGTTAACAAATATGTGTTGCTCATAGAGGCCGATCACAACGAACGCGCTTTTTCATTCCAGAGACGTGAGGCGCTCCGCAATGCATTTTAAATTGACAAGAAAAAAAGGAGCACGGTGCTCTTTGGTATGTCACTTTTGGTAACAACTGAATCAGCTGGTCTATTGTGCGCTAATGTTGCTGTCAATGTTGTCATAATTTAATTTTTAAAATAATATTATGAAATTCAAGATTTGTAAAGTCATACAACTTTGGATGACTTAAAAGAGCGACCACAAGTCTCTACTACGTTATTAAAAAGTTCGCCGTATCTTGACAACACACTTTGTCACCTCAAAGGAAACCCCGCCTCATCTTTCATTTGATTGAAGAATGAAAGACGCCACTGAGGTAACATGCTTTTCCTCTGGAGCTCACAAAGCGGGCAATGGCAAAACGCGAGGCGCGCATGCAGGGCGCAAAATCAATAACCTCCATGCATTTGGTCTTTTCCCATTGCTCAAAATGCGCACGCCGTGGGTCAGGCTGCAGGCACTTGCACAGGCCACAGCGGAGTTTTCATTTCATGCAAAGCATAAATATGTTTTTTTATTTTATTAATTAATAACTATTTATAAAGATAAATTATCATAGCGACACAATTAATTTTCCAAGCCCTTTATCCAAAATCTAAGCACTTTCAAAGCTGGAAAATAGGCTATAGCCTACATTAAAATGAAAACATTTTCAAAGATTTCAAGCACCCGGCAAATGTGCTTGAGTGCTTATTAAAATTATTTTACAGGCGGCAAAATAAGAATAAAATCTTGATATTGATCTAAGCTTTAACTATATTATAGGAGCATTTAATTTGTTAGTAAATCGATAGCACCTGCAGCTGTAAGGTCATTCAATATTTTACACAATCGGTTATAAACTATAGCCTAAAAATATAAACATTATAGTCATCCATCGTACATGCCTGCAATTAATGGCTATTTTTCACAAAACCTTTCATAATAAAGTTTTCTCTCTCATCCTGTTCCTCTGTTTAAATTTTTTCAACCTGTCCTGAAGTGACTGCCGACGAGAAAAAGAAAGCAAGCGCGAGTGGACAAATTAAGCTATTTATTCAATCGACTAACACATTAACTAGAATAAACTAAAATAAACTTTGTCAAATATAATATTGCCATAACTGTGACACAACTAGATTTTGAATATTCTCCACGTAGACGCGGTCTTGCGCACTAACAGTCGGGCAATGGTTCAATTCAAGTTTGTCTGGAAAGGAGCCCGATAAACATAGGCCTATTATAGCTGATTATGTTTATTATCAATTCTATATTATTCAGAGGATAAAAGCACCATGTTAGCATGCACCACTGTTTACGAATTGAGTTTTGAACATTCGAACGTGCGTTAACCTTTAACAACACACATGCCATAATACTAATTAAATATAACAAGGTGATATCTATTAAAGTTTGATTAATTGTGCAACCTTACCATTCAGATGTCTCAGAGGTTAAAGTTTATTGGTTTACACACCCAACAGATATCCACAAATAGGTCTTTTGTCAAGTTTTGAAAGCATTTATCTGATTTTCATAATGTGTCAACTGTCAATTTCAGAGCAGTCACGTCCGTAACGAAGACAAGTCACGTCCGTAACGATAGTTTTCCCTCATTAATGCAAAAATGAAAAACTAAATAAAATGAATTATAAATGTCCCATGCAGAGCCAACCCTTATCCTTTTGACTGTTATAAATATTTTTGGCTTCTGCATTTTTATTCACAGAATTTTAACCAAGTATGTCAACTCACAAAACTCATGTCTTTTTTTTGTCACGTCCGTAACGCATTCATTTTGCCGTCATTTTAAATATAAAACGCCTGCATAGACTGATATTTTTTGATACCTAAACTCCATGGTTAAGGGGTAATAAAAATATAAACAGATATTTCAATATTCTGTTAACATATACATTCTCCGAGTATATACATTTAATTTTTTTTCTGCAAATGTCACGTCCATAACGCTGGAATCAGCCATATATATATATGTATATATATATATATATATACATACCCATGTATATATGTATATACATACATACACATACATATATACATAAGTTTTGACAATTGATCATTTGACAAAAATACAATTACATTTTTTTCTATTATAAAAATAGATCAAACCAGATGCATAATGAGGTTTAAAAGTTAAAACAATGATAAATATGTGATAAATAGTGTACTGCACATGGCTCTTGTACAATCAAAGCAACTTACAACTCCTTTTTCCACAACCTCTTTCAGTTTAGAGCGAGTCATCTTGGGTTCCTAACAGACAGACGAAGAGTTTTTAGACTTTTTAGAGAGAAGAGTTTAAACAGCTTTCAATCTCTTTCTAGCCGAGCAGATGATGATTAGAGATACTCACAAACACAGGAATGGGTTCAGTTTCACTGATAGCAGCTTTCATCATTGCCACGACGTGCTCATTGGTAATCACTTCCTGCAGAGTGACAGTGAAGATGTTGAGCTACATGTTGAATACGGAGTCAAACACATCATTATGATGACTGGTGTTTCCAACATTTTCAGGTCACACTCACATGAATAATGCTTCGAACATTTGCAGAAGTTAAGTTATGTTGTCTGGATTTATTCTCCAGTTCTCGGTCCAGCTCTCGGTCAATCTCCACCTCCGGCTGGATTTCATCTTCCACTTCATTCTGCTGAGCTTCTACTTCATTGATGGCGTCTTTTTTCCTTCTCAAGCCTTTCCTTCGCCCCATCCCACGGGTTCCAGCTTGTTCCTTATCTGAGAGAGAGAGAAACACAGCTGCTTTTTCTACACATTTCTAGCTAGACTGATATTGTTTTATCTTTATTAGAATAGCAGAGAGAGGGCTTTAGATTTTATGTAACTCTACTAATTAATTTTAATGAAATAATACAATTAAAGACATAGATTACCCCAAAAATAAATAATTTATCCCAAAAGAAAAACATATTCACTATTTATTCTATTTATTTATGTTTCCATCCACTTATTTTTATGCGCATTTTGCATACGCGCATAAAAGAACGGTTGATGGAAACATCATGATGCACATAAATTTTGAAAATGTGCATAAAATATGTATGCACATAACTGAGTAGGATAAACTTTTTATCCGGTAAAAAAAGAAACGCATAAACTATGATGGAAACACTTTTACCGCACAAATTTCAGTATGTGCATTAAAAAAGGTCATGTGACTTTGTTATAAGAGATCATGTAATGATGAAAATGTGTGTAAATGGACAAACCAGCAGGCTGAGCACCCTGTAAAACATCTGAAATGTTGTTTAGGTCATTTAAAAACACCTCATCGTTTAACTATTAGTGTTATTCTATTATAAATGACCTCCAGAATCAAGAGAGTCTGTGCTCTGCATCTGACCCCTTCAATTGCCACCGCACATTCACTGCGTGTCAAGATTGCCTTCTGAGGTGCAAGTCCTTTATTAGATGAAAAAAATAAAAGATTGACGCGGCTTCTCTTACTGCAGCAAATTCAGTTTTTACAGTCGATATTTGGCGCCAGTTAATCAGGAAGTGAATGGAATGGAAACGCTGCTTAATTTGCATGTTTTTTTATGCGATAATCCAGTTTTGTGCATACAGTTCATCCGCACTTTTGGATGGAAACAAAGCTAGTGACTTCCATGGTAGAAAAATAAATACGATGAAAGTCAAGGATTAGCAGTTTACAACATTTTTCAAGATAGCTACTTTTGAGATCAACAACAACAACAACAAAAAAAAAGAAAGTCCAACAGGTTTGTGACAATGGTGATTAAATTATGATAGAATTTGTGTGACCTATTAATTAAAGTATAAATAAATTTTTTTATTTAAATATCAAAAATGAATATATAAGTACATTTAATAAAACAATATTTTGCGTGGGTTTCCTCTGGCTGCTCCGGTTACGCCCATAGTCCAAAGACATGCAGAGCTGGTGATTTGATTAAACTAAATTGGCCATAGTGTATGAGTGTGTGTGCGTGTGTGAATGTGAGAGTGTTTAAGTGTTTCCCAGTACTGGGGTGCAGCTGGAAGGCCATCCGCTACATAAAAACATATGCTGGAATAGTTGATGGTTTATTCACTGTTGTGACCTCTAAAATGGAGACTAAACAAAAAAATATTTTAATAAACCCATTTGAAGCTGCACTGAACTTGCAAATTGGAGGTTCAAACCACTGAGTAACCATAGAAGTCCACTATACAGAGAAAAATACAGCACGTTTTCCTCAAAGAAAGAAAGAAACATTGGAAAACAATGGGATGAGTAAATATGATGAGGCCTTTTCAAATTGTGTCTCCCAAAACTCCAGTGCAGTCATTAACTAACTGAGAATTAATTTGTGGCTCAAATATTAAATTCATGTCATCAATGTATTCCCTAAGCATACATTTCACATCACTTAAACATTTTACACTAGAATATACTCTTAGGTTGTTTTCTTTCTTTGTTCTAGTACATTCATTCATTTATTTATTTTCCTTTGGCTTAGTCCTGTTAATCAACAGGGGTCATCAAAGCAGAATGAACATAATAATCCTAATGCCAAATATCAAACATGCACTGCAAAATACATCTATCTTTCTTACTCAAGAGTTTTAGTTTTATTGTTTCTAGTCAAAATATATTTAAAAAAAACTTTGTTTTGTTTTAAGAAATAAAATGTCAAGATTAAGTCAGTTTTTCCTTAAAATAAGCAAATTAATCAACCAACAGCGTAAGCAAACTAATCTTGCTTCAAGGCAATGCAAGATTAAATTTTAAAGAAAATAATTTTTGCAGTGTGTATTGACCAGGGCTGCATTTGTCACCCACTGTTTCCAAAATCGACTAAGGCTTGCTACGGTTTTGCTGGAAGCACACGCCTGGTCAGTATAACAATGATTACAATATCACTATGAGGACAGTACACTGACTCACCAAATGTGATGATCAAGTTGTTCTCAGCATCATCTTCTGATGTTTGTGTACATGCAGCATGTTGCTCTTGACCTAACAGCATTCCCACAAATGTCTCAGATTATGAAGAAAGACACATGTTATATTGTAATATCTCACGTATTACCCAAAGTACAGATCTTACTGGTGCTGTCAGACTGAGGGCTGGAGGCTCTGATGGAGCTGAAGTTTGATCCTGCAGGCTCTGTAACGTTAACATCTCTGCTCTCAGAAATGTCCTCGGGTTCTTCTGCTCTCGCTACTTTACACTGAGAAAGCCCAGGTTTTCTGTTATTCAGTCTCCGTTTGCGAGTTTGGTCCATCTCAGGCTTCCATATTTAAACCTTTTAGGGGAAGGTATGATGTATAAAGAGTGAACCATTATACTCATGTACACCCGAACACTTCATACGTCCTATACGTCTTCAGTTATGTTTATTTATCAACCCCTTTTCGTCAGAAAGAAACCTGTATTTATTTTTCCTGCATTTAACGCATTTAATTACCATGCAAGTTTGGCTTTTAACCGACAGCAGCTTTTTACACTGAAGCAGCAACGTTAACATTAGTTATGTCTGTTACAGTAGCGTTAACGTTACCTTCATAATTTCTGTCATATCAGCAGAACGTCCCGGTTGTCATGTTTATTCGCACTCTGAGGTAGACATTAATTAATCATTTTAATATTTTATACACACCCGCCAACACACGGTACAAAAGTGCTGCGGTGACGAGATACACAACAAAAGCGCGTCACTTCCGTGTAGTGGAATCGAGTTAGAAAATGTGCAAATAAAAGTCCCTCAGCTGGTAAACTATAACTTTTAAGTTTTTTCCACAAAAAGCCATTTAAACTTGATATAAATAAGACGAAATAAGCGTTAAAAATACGAAAAATTTGTATGTGCTGTGAATATGCCAACCTTAAAAAGTGAGAAAATTGTAGGTTACTTGCAAATCTAACGTAATGATTTAGCAAATAGTGATATCAACTACAGCCTAACATTTCTGTTTGGTTGTGTAAGTGAATAACTAAAAAATAAGAAAAATAAAAAGTAATCGTTATGAAGTAAAATAAACTTTCAGATCCATGAATGGGTGGTTTCTAACTCATTATAGCTAACATTATCTAATCAACGACATTTTCTATGAGCAAAAACAACAACCCCAGAAGCAACTGTGCATTGAAGCATTTTTACCAGTTAATATGTGACAGCGTTTCCAAGTGTTGGGTTGTGGCTGGAAGGGCATTCACTGCTTAAAAACACATGCTGGATAAGTTGGCAGTTCATTCCGCGGTGGCGACCCCTAATTAATAAAGGGGCTAAGTCGAAAAAGAAAATGAAAAGGAAATGAATGAGTGTATGTAACATAGCCTGCACAATCTTTGAGCAAAGCTGGGTGGTTACTAAAATAATTAGTGATGCAGGCCTAATATTCATGCTTTTCTTGTGTGCAAACGATTGGCTCACAATTTAACAAAGTTGGAATTCAATTGAAGATTTAGTCATTTCAATGTTAATAATAGTCTTAAACAGTGTCAAAATATTAAACAACTTTGATAAAAATCTCAAATACACTTAGAAACGGCAGCTGTTACTGTACCCTTACACAATGTCTGTAGCTTATTTAAAGGGTCATTGATACCTAGCTACTATGTAGAAACTTGAATAGGATCACTTTCCGTGTTCGCGTGGGTTTCCTCCGGGTGCTCCGGTTTCCCCCACAAGTCCAAAAACATGTGGTAAATTATAGGTGAATTGGGTAAGCTATATTGTCTGTAGTGTATGTGTGTGAATAAGTGTGTATGGATGTTTCCCAGTGATGGATTGCAGCGGGAAGGGCATCTGCTGCATAAAACATATGCTGGACAAGTTGGCGGTTCATTCCGCTGTGGTGACCCCAAATAAATCAAGGGACTGAGCCAAAAAGAAAATAATGAATAAATGAAAGGAAAGGATTACTTTATTACTGTTTGTTCTAGTGAGGTATTAATATGGACCCTTTAGGGTCTAAGAAAGGTTGACTTTTCTGAGTGTAGAAATGTATAATTGCAAGTTAATGACCCTCTTTTGCTGATACAAATAGACTAACAACTTATGTTTGTTATTTTGCTTTGAAAAATAATGGCCAAAATGAGCACCATGTTAAATGTTAAAAAGCACTAGACTTTAGTCAGCAAAGATGGCTTGATTGAAATGTGCTCTTAGCCACTAATTATGTTCACCTGTTGCTCATTAAGACCTTTAAACAAGACCTCTGACAAACAGAATAAACTTCCAGTAGTTCATCTTTTGGTTAACCTGAAAGTCAGAGGATTCTGCTGCAGTTGCTTTCATCCTTAACATCTTAAAAAATAAAAATGTTTGCTTATGAAGAAGATGCAGCCACTCACCAGGACATCATAACACCCAAAAACTTCTCCAGGCTAAACCTACCACTAACCCCTGGAAGAATCCCAACATTTATCATTCCTCCAAGGTTATCACTGTCTCCTCGTCTGGGTCTTCAGAAAGGAAAAGAGGAGGATACCCGTGCACTGATTTCTCCAGAAAGCCCAGAAGAACAGTCTCCAAGACCTCGCTCAACCAAATCTCCCTACATTTCAGCCAAATTTAGTTTCACTCCTAAGATGAAGCTGAAACGTTCGCAGAAATCTACCCCAGAGGATCTCTCAGACCCTTCCACGTGTGCAGCCATGTCTCTGGAACATGTTGGGAAGGTCACCACACCTTATGGCTTTCGGACCTTAGCTGCTAGTCCTCAAGTCAACAGGAGGGAATCTTTGTTTCACAAGCAGGGGCGATCTGTGGAGAAGAAAGGGCTGGTGGATTCTTTGGTTTCACCAGCATCAAGCTTGACATTGAATTCTGCAAGCAAGAAAAACCGTTCAGCTAAAAAGATGCAAGATGGCACAGATGACTGCTGTTCTCCTCGGAGGTCCAAAAGAGAAGGCCTGGAGCGGCTTCTGAACAAACCATTGACTGTCCTGAAGAACCTTACTCCCAAAGGAAAGAGTCCTCATCTAAAACTTAAGGTTTAGGAGGAGTTGTAATTGTTACAGCCTTTTGCAATGTGCTTGTTTTGACAGAAAATAATTTTTTTTAAAATGTATATTTAAAAAATAAAAGCATTTTAATTACAATCGTTTATTTTTATTTCTCCAAGTGAAATGCTAAACATTGGCTTGCATTAACCTTAACTCTTGCTTTTAAAACCTACTAAATTATCAGTCTCTATCAAGAGTTTTCAAAACCATGTATTTGCAGTAGCCTTTACATTAGAGTTGTGCAGTTAAACAGCTGTGAAATGATGGCATTTAAAACAACCAACATAATGGGAGTCCAACAAATCTGCAGGGAGTCATTTCAAAATTAATGGATATTAAGTTTGTGTATATCTTTGCTATCACAGCAGCCTTCGGTTTTCGATTTAAAGGAGATCTAGGCATGTTATCCAAGCACACTTTGTAGCAGCCACATGAGATTGTTTTCAGTGAGGTTCTAGCATGTGTATTCAGAAATCCCGGATGAACAGATCATCCTTATTTTGAGTTTTTAAGTATGAATAATATGTTTTTGTTCTTTTTAAATTAAAATGTCCATTTTTTTTTTTTTTTTTTTTTAACATTTGCACTTTTACTTTGTGCATTTTTTTTTTTTTTGAAAGGTAATGGAAGCACAACTTCTCTTATTCAATAAACGGGACTATAAAATGATAATGTCTAAGGTGTTGACACTGCATTTCTTGCATTTAGTTAATTCACCCAATAATGAATTTTGACATTTACTCTCTCTTTGCTTGTTCCAAACCAGTTTGATTTATTTGGTTGAACAAGGCATTTTGAGGAAACCTGAAACCATTGACTTTCATAGTAGGACAAAAAGCAATACTATTGATTATGAGATCAGCTTTCTTTAAAATATCTTTCATGTTTAACAAAAGGAAGGAGCTCAAAGTTTAGAACCAATTAATGGTGAGGAAAATGCATATGTCTTGTTGCTGTGATGTGTCTCTTTAAATTCAAGGTAATATTTAGCATTTTAACTTGTGTAAAGACTGCAAAGGCGGCTGGATCAAAAATGAACAAAGAAAGACCTTTGGGTAAAAGCAGCTTTCTGTTCTGTTGTCTAAAGCTGTTCCTTGAGTGCCACGGGTCCTAGATCTAAAGGTTTTTAAACTCATTAGACTTCAATTGTGTTGTATGTTGAGAGACAGGATTTGTGTTCTCACAGCAGGACTAGACGCTATTGCCTCAATCCCTTCCAAGGGATTTACCTTCCAGAGGTAAGAAAAAATTGTTTCATGAAGTTTACTCCTTTTTTTTTTTCTCTCGGTTGAACACAAAACTATTTTGAAAAGAAAGTTGGAAAACAGCCATTGACTTTCATAGTATTTCTTGACCCTACTAAAGGAAGTCAGTGGTTACTGGCTAAGATTCTTCAAAATCTCTTGTGTTCAACAGAAAAAAAAATAACTTAAAAGTTTTAAAGCACTAAAGGGTAAATAAATGGTAAATAAATGTAAAACTTTAGGTGAACCATTCCTTTAAAAGGCCTACAATTTAGCTCTTACTCTAAAGTGCCCTTCAGATTTATTTCTGTTAGGAAAGTAGCAAATGTTTCAAGTTTATCCAACAAGTTTTGGAAAACCAAAGGGGCTGGACATTGCATTTTGCCATACACAGTAGTCAACATTTGAAGAGGATCAAAACCTTTCATTAAGGTAGTCCTAAAACTATTGAACAACACCCATTCTTTTGCTCTAGGATGATTTTTAAAAAGCTTTATGATTGACTTCAAATGTTGACTACTGTTTATACTATGCTCTCACAAAACTATTACTTAAGACGCACAGTAGCTTAAAAAGAACACTTTAACCTTATTAGATTCTAATGTGTACACTTTAGGTATTAATATAGAGCACATGTGTCAAATCCAGTTTCTGGAGGACCACAGCTCTGCACAGTCTAGTTCCAACCCTGCTTCAACACACTTAAGCTGCGGTCACACAAGAGTTTGTGTGTGCGTAATTCGGTCGTACAGCACAGCGAAAAGAGGCAGGATTAAACAAGGTGACTAGACATTAAAAAAGCGAGTGATTGCTCCATGTTTTAAATTTCTGTCCAGAGATGTCATGTTTTGATCCTCGATTGGTCTCACGCAGTCATGTGATGCGATTTCGCAGGTCAGAGTTCACCAAGCTTTAACTTTGCACCGCAGCAACCTGTGAAACTTGACGCATTACCTTGCGTTTCCGGTTTGACGCATTCACGTGCGTATGAATGGTGTGACTGCAGCTTTACCTGTGGGTTTCAAACAAGCCTAAAGTTTGATCAGGTGTATTCAAAGCTAAAACACAGGGTTAAAGCTAAACTGTGTATAGTTGCGGCCCTCTAGGAAATGGATTTGACATGTGTGAAAGGCCAGGGGTGGGCAATCTCGGTCCTGGAGGGCCGGTGTCCTGCATAGTTTAGCTCCAACACTAGTCAAACACACCTGAACATGCTAATCAGCGTCTTCAAGATCATTAGAAATCTATAAGCAGGTGTGTTTGATTAGAGTTGGATCTAAACTGTGCGGGACTGAGTTTGCCCACCTCGGACACAGACTCAGTAGGTAAAACCATGTACAATTTTGAAGAGCCTCTGCCCAAGTGACAGCTATTGTACTTTTCTTTCTGATAGTGTACTGCTCTTTTATATACTGCATCAGATTAGTCAGGTATTGTGCATATACAAAA